GATCCATAACTATCTGACGGGCCGGCCTCAGTGCGTGAGGCTTGGCCACACCACTTCGGATTATGTCGTGAGTAATGTTGGGGCTCCACAAGGAACGGTTCTTGCTCCTTTTCTCTTTACCATCTATACATCTGACTTCAAGTACCACTCTGACACTTGTCATGTTCAGAAGTACTCGGATGACACAGCCATTGTGGCCTATGTCAGAAATAACCAGGAAGAGGAGTACAGGAACTTGATCACTGCATTCTGTGATTGGAGCACCAAGAACTCACTCACTCTGAACACTAACAAGACCAAAGAAATGACTATCTACTTTGGCAAGAAAAAGAACACTTTACAGCCAATAAATATTCATGGACAGGACATCGAACGCGTGCACACATACAAATATCTAGGTGTTCACCTGGATGATAAATTGGACTGGAACATCAACACAGAGGCGCTCTACAAAAGGGGTCAGACCAGGCTCTTTTTTCTGAGGAGGCTAAAGTCCTTTGATGTGTGTAATCAAATGTTGTCTATGTTTTACCATTCTGTTGTGGCGGCTGTTCTCTTTTATGCTGTCATTAGTTGGGGCAACAATATATCGGTCAAAAACCGTAACAGGCTGGACAAACTGGTTAAGAGGGCGGGGTCAGTGGTTGGGGGGTCACTGGACTCTGTTGAGGCAGTGGTTGAGAGGTGCATGGGGAGAAAGGTCCAGGCCATCCTTAGTAACTCCAGGCACCCTCTGTATGGGTCTCTGTCTGCTCAGAAGAGCAATCGATCGGATCGTTTCCTCTCCGTATACAGCAGGACTGAGCGCTTCCGGAGATCCTTCATCCCTGCTGCAATTCGATTTTACAACGGTCATCGCTGATGTAAATGTGTGGGGGTTTTAATTTTTTTTTATATTTATATGTATTGTCTTTTTTATCCGCTGTTTTGCTACTAAGGACAACTGAATTTCCCCTCGCTGGGATGAATAAAGTATTTATCTATCTATCTATCTATCTATCTATCTATCTATCTAGTGGTCGTCCTCATGGAGGATAAATCAGTATTGCTCATTGACCCCATGGGAAACGAGGCCCTTTACAAAACAAACATCCTCAAAAACTGGAGGTTTGTCCTATCTGAAAAGTTATCATGAGACTTGTTTTGTAACTGTTCATCTCACTTTAGGAAGTTTCTGAGGCAGGCGAATAGAGGCAGTGGTCAATGGACTGGGAGTGTGCTCAAGCACCAGCTACAAATTGATACCTCTAGTTGTGGCATTTTTATTTTAAAGGTGATTCTGTAATTATTTATTCTTCTTTGAAGGCATAGTGACATGTCCTATTAGCTGTATATATAGTTTGCCGAGGCATGGTTCCTCCAGGGCCATTTGGATGCTGTGTGCACAAACTACAAATTTATTGCTGCAGCATGTCTGGAAGTGGCATGTACGCTGCTTCAGCGAGGAGGTTATTATCGTCCTTACTTTTGAAATGTTATACCTGGGTTAATCAACAAAACTGAGACTGAAACATTGTGTTTATTTGTAGGTGAAGATGACTACTGTGGTGTGTGTTGTTTCCACTTAAGTGGAGATGAAAAGGTATTTTCCTCTTATAACCCTACAGCATGTGTTTCTGGAATGACTAAAGTTTACTTATTTTGGATAGGTGCAGTGTTGTATGTGCGGCGACTTCACACATTTTGATTGCACCAACAAAAAAGCGCCTTTGGTAGCATGTAATAAATGTAATCAATAGAAAAAAGTGTTGGCCACACATGTCAGAGTAATTGTATTTTTATAAAATGTACCATGTTGCAACAGTGGTTTCTGGTCTTTGTTTTACCTTGTGCTTTTCAGAATCATAATTTTTGTTTTGCTCTACATCTGAGGCTATGGTGCAAAGTCCCTGGTTATCTATGCATATATTTTTAATTACTATTCAAACAAGGGTTCTAAAATCAAAATATTGGAAAGTCAGAGGTAACAACATTTCAGAACACAACAGTGTGACAGCAAGATATACCTCTATCAATCTTGTGACATGTGGTTGTATACTACACAAATTATTGGGATTAGTAGTGTTGGAAATGTGTAATTATAATTAAACTGTCCTCTGTTCATATGTAATGTGATGGTGTTTCTGTAGCTACATAAAAAATATAAAATTAATCGAATGTAACATGTGTAATCTTGTTATTCGGTATGGATACATTACAATACAATCGTTAATAATCCCATATCAACATGTTCAGACCAGTTGTAAGCTGCAGAGTTGCCACAGGACGCGTCATCAGCCTGCGTCCGCAGCCGAGGACTGCTATGAAAACATTAGCTTTGTGGTTTCACAGGCAGAGTTGACTGCTTAAACTAAACTTTACACGAAACTTTGACTCTTAAAACCCACATGTGCCAACGCGGAACCATCAACATCTCGCCTCAAATTGCATTAAAAGTGACATTCGTGTCTTATTTCGTTCGTATTATAACTTTTAAAGCAATTCTCGGACTTTCTGTCCGCCATCTTGGTTTGTTTCGGCTGCCGTGAGACGCGCATGCGCAGGTTTGCATTACATCATTAACAGCTGAGCATTACATAAGTGTCACAACTCGGCAGAGCGGCACAACTCGGCAGAACACCGGCACGTTGGCAGCTGCTGATTGGACGGTCTATGATTCTTCCTGTATAATATAATTTTGTTTGTGCTGTCTACCATCGACAATAAAACATGTCTATGGACTCGATCCCCAGACGATTGTCTAGAAGAGAGAGTGCCGTAGGGCCGAGCGGAAGTGGCGAAAATCCAATCTCCAGGTTGATCATGATATCTTCAAAAATGAGTTGTGCAAGTTTAACAGGGTGCTACGTAGAACAAGAGAAATTTATTTTTCTAAAACCATTGATGGCTGCAATAATAATCTACGACTTATGTTTTCAACAGTTAACGGATTAACAAACCCCCCTGTTCAGCTGCCATTCGAATTTGCTTCAGAATCTAAATGTAATGAGTTTGCACAATTTTTCAATGACAAGGTTCAGAGCATCAAAAACGCCATCACCTCCAAGGCAGAAATAACATTACAACAGCCGGTGAGGCTGTTTGAGCTATCGCACTTTGCACCAACAGATAATGAAACTGTCCAAGATGTTGTCTCTAGCCTTAGTTCCTCCACATGTAGCCTGGATGTACTACCCACTAAATTTTTTAAGTCTGTTTTGAGCAGTCTTTTACCTTTGCTCACACAAATAGTGAACATGTCTTTCTCATCTGGAACATTTCCAATGGCCCTGAAAACGGCAGTCATCAGACCCCTCCTAAAAAAGAGGAGTCTAGATGCCACAGTTCTTAAGAATTATCGCCCCATTTCAAATCTGCCGTTTATGGGAAAAATTCTGGAAAAAGTTGCTTACCAACAACTTACAGAATTCTTAGTAACTAATAGTTCGTTTGATGCGCTCCAGTCCGGCTTTAGAGCCAATCTCAGCACTGAGACTGCACTAGTGAAGGTTACAAATGACATCCGACTTAACACCGACACAGGAAAAGTCACAGTTTTAGTAATGTTGGATCTGAGTGCTGCGTTCGACACAGTCGACCACGAGATCCTCATGCAGAGACTAGAGCACTGGGTGGGTGTCACTGGGACTGCCCTAAGTTGGTTTAGGTCTTACCTAGAAGACAGGAAATACTTGGTTCAGATAGGAAACTGTGTCTCAGATCATATGGCTCTGACCTGCGGAGTGCCACAGGGATCAATTCTGGGGCCTCTTCTGTTCAATATTTACATGCTGCCGTTAGGTCAGTTAATACGCTCCAACAATGTATCCTACCACAATTACGCTGATGACACTCAAATTTATGTCTCACTTACTGCAGGAGAACATGGACCAGTGGAATCACTCCTTCACTGTACTCAACAGATTAGTGATTGGATGCAAAATAACTTCCTTCAGCTAAACGCAGACAAAACAGAATTGATTGTCTTTGGTCCTCAGAAACAAAGAGAGAGCGTTATTCGTCACCTCCAGTCTCTCTCCCTGGAACCTGTAGGCAAGGTCAGAAACCTAGGAGTTATAATGGACTCAGACTTAAATTTTAACAGTCATATCAAATCAGTAACATCAGCAGCATTTTACCATCTGAAAAACATTGCCAAAATTAGAAACATAGTGTCTAAATCAGATCTGGAGATTCTCATCCATGCATTTGTCTCCAGTAGGTTAGACTACTGCAATGGCCTGCTCACAGGTCTCTCCAAACAGGCTGTAAAACAACTGCAGTATGTCCAAAATGCTGCAGCTCGAGTCCTGACCAGGACCAGGAAATATGACCACATTAGTCCAGTTCTCAGGTCTCTGCACTGGCTTCCTGTGGCTCAGAGAATAGACTTCAAAGCAGCACTGCTTGTGTACAAGTCTCTCCATGGCCTCGCACCAGGGTACTTAAGCGACTTGTTAGTCCCATATGAACCGGCCCGGACTCTGAGGAGCACAGGAGGTAGCCTCTTACTGGTTCCAAGAGTCAGAACTAAACATGGGGAGGCAGCGTTTGAGATTTATGGAGCTAAAATCTGGAACAATCTTCCTGAAGATGTGAGGCTAGCATCTACTCTGGCAATTTTTAAATCAGGGCTAAAAACTGTTCTTTTTAGCTGTGCATACGGCTGAAGGATTTTATTGATACATACTCTTTTTTTTTTTTTTTTTTTTTTTTTTTTAATGCATTGTGGTTATTTATTATTTTAATCCCGTGTGTGCTTTTAATATTTTTTTTTTTCATTACTTGTGATTTTATTCTGTTTTTAATGTATTTATTGATGTCTCTGATTTGTGTGATATTATGTGGGTTGTGAGGCGCTTTGAGTGGCCTTGTGTTGGAAAGGCGCCATACAAATAAAGTTGATTGATTGATTGTCATTTTCTTCAGACCCTCAGTTAAAAGGAGACAGTTAGAGTAAGACTTTGTCCATGAGCACTTCTACCTGGGCTTCCTTAAGGTAGTGGGTTAGCATTATCCATCTACAGTCTATAGTTACCTGTGACAGACAGGAGGCGCTCTGGGCTTCTAGTTCCATCTGCAGACTCACACCAGTACACACCAGAGTCTGAGGGGACGAGGGTATTCAGGAGGCAGGTGGAAGAAGTTTTGTCAAAGTTACCAAAGTCTTTGTCCAAGCCAAAGGACTCAACCCTAGACCCAGACTTTCTCTTCACAGTCCACTGAGCCTCACACTTCAGACTGATTGTTGAAGAACTGAAGAACTGGTCTGAGTCTGGCTCCACCATCAGGATCTCTGAGGAGCACAGGAGAACGTTAGACCCTGAAAACCTTTAGATCAAACTGAACCATCAGCAGAAACTTTAGTTCAATTCAATTCATTTCAAATTATTTGTGTAAAGCCATAAATCACAACAACAGTAGTCTCAAAAGACTTTACAAAATTGTAGATTCTCCAACAACAGATTTAATGTTGCATTTCAAAAAACAGAGCAAGGACCCAAAATACAATACTGAAAAATGCATAAACAAGCAGAAAACAACAAAAAACTCAACTGAATGTAAAACCCAAGCAAACACAATGGACTGACGACAACAGGGAAAGAGCACAGGGCCTTTAAAGGTCTGTGGGAGAAGGATCTACTTCCGGGTGGATCATCAAGACTCTTGGTCCTCCTAATTGTCAATCATTCTGGTGATACGTGCTCGTCAAATAAGACCAGAGAGTTTTGTGGAGAGGGCGGTTCTATCCTAAAATTTGGGAAATCCTCCAATATGCATTTAACTGAGAGACACAGCAGTTATCTCGGAGGACTTAACAAAACCATGGAATTAACACAACAACCAACACAGAGAATCAGACACAAAAAAGGCAATTCTAAAATGTATATAAAATAAATGTTGAATGTTGGATGTCCTGGATCATTACCACTGTCCTTATGTTAAACCTTCAGGCATCGGCAAGGAACAAGATCCAGGACTCAAGGCCACGTGATGCAGGACTGAGGCAATCGTTCTCAGGCACCAGTAACTTCATTATGTCTATTTTCCTGTGCAGTGTTCATCCCCTCAGTTCATCTGGGGCCTATAATAGCTTGTGTTGAACTTTGGCTGAAGCGGTTCTGAACCGGTCCAGACGAGACAGACAGTTCGAATAACAGCAAGAGGAGCAGGTGATGGAGCTGCTGTGAGAAGTGTTTGTCTTAAAAAGCAGAGGTGTAAAAGAACTCACCTGGAGACACGAGCGGTGGCAGCAGAGTCAGACCTGTGGGAGACCAGGAGTTAGCACCAGGCTAAAGAACACAATGGAAACAATCCATAACAAGGTTAGCACCAGACTCACAGAAGAGGAGAAGGGCCATCTTCAGTCACAAACCAGGACTAGACAGGACCAGGACCCAGGGACGGTCTAAAGCCGGTCTCAGGCAGGTTTAAAGCAGCTCTAAAACAGGACAAAAGTCCTTCTAAACCAGGTCCAAACCAGGTCTAAACCAGGGCAAATGTCAGTCTAAACCAGGTCTAAAGCCGGTTTTGATGTAAAACCGGTCCAAAGAAAGTCTGAGGCAGTGGACAGTAGAATGAGGAAAGAGGAAGGAAATGTTTTAAATGAAGCAAAAAAAGCAAATGAAGTTTCTGTTTTTGAAGTGTTTGTGATCTCAGTGTGGTCAGACATGGACTCTGGTCTAGGTCTAAAGCCTGCCTGAGGCCGGTCTAAAGCAGGTCTAAAGCAGGTCCAAAGCAGCACTTAACCAGGTCTCAACCATGTTTAAAGCCATTTATGGACCGACTTAATGTCTAAAGTCAGATGAGGAAAGAAGTAATTGTTTTAAGCAAAAGTAGAAGTTTCTGTTTTGAAGGACCAGACTAGAACTAGGTCTGGGGCCGGTCTGAGGCTGCAGTCACAAACACAACATAGAGCCCAGCACATTTTTCATTCTTTCATTTCTCAGACTCACGCCGTTTACTCCAAGGCGCGCTCCCGAGTCTGCCGTGCGCCCATCCGCACACACACACACACACATTTTTGTTACCTGGTGGGTCCCTTTGACAGGGCCGTTCAGAATGGGACCCATAGACATAATTTTTTTTTACTGGGACTACTTTAAGTAATACAAAACAGTCAATAGAAAACAAACAACTCTTTTAAAGGAATTTTATTTTAGATTTTTTCGAATTGCAGTGATTCTATTTTTGACATAGAATTTAATGCCACTCCATGTCCGATGTCTAAGGTCATCTGGTGAGGCATTAATGCAGGCCAGGCCAGGCCAGGCCAGGCAGTGAGACTTCCCAGGGACCTTTCCAGTCTGTATGAAAGGTGTCATGGTCTTCTCCACAGCCTTCACCTCAGATGCAGACCATGGCTTTCTTACACGTTCTAGGGAGAGAAATAAACATATATTAGCAATATACACTCCCAGGGTTAGGACCAAGCAGCCTGGCTGTAATCCCCCACCTGGTACACTTACCAGAAGGGGCACTGCCACTACCATGGGGTGCATCTGGATGAATGGTTGAAGGTTCTCCGCTTGAAGTTTCTTTTAGCCCGTCCGTTTGTGAGAGGATCTCTACTGCTCTCCCTGTCGCACAGAAAATAAAAATACAAGTGGCCTTTAGGGGAAAAAAATTATACATATTTTAATAATATCAAGAATTACCTTCAGGCTCAATTTGTATCTGGTCGAGGCTCTTTCCTTTGAATTCCGTCACTCTTCCCTGCTCCATGGCCATCAACACTTTGCTGATTTTGGCCAGCTCCAGTGTCCCCTCTGGTAGTCTGTAATATTGTCTGTGGATGCGAATGTCATGGCCGAGGAAGTTGGCTAGTATGTCCATTTCATTCTCTTTCATATTGAGAACTGTAGACATAGTAGCTATGTGCTTTCTAAGTTTGGTTGAGGATAGCATCTCTGGATGCACCGCACCATATTCTTTGGCTACCTGGCGTAGGGAGTCTGATCCCCTGATGTGGGTGTCTGCGCCCGGGCGGGAGAAGAAGTATGGGTTATGGTCAGAGATGGAACAGGCCCTTCTGTTCTCCACCAGCACCTCCATCGAAGCAATCATTTCAGGAGTCAAAAGAACCGGCACTTTCCGACTTCTTTTCCCTTTAATTTCAATGCGTTGAAAATGCTGACACAGCTTTTTCTCAAGTTCGGACAGTCCCAGAGCAATGTCAGAATGGATCCCAGTCTTACTTCTTAAGGTAAAGGCTGTCAGTGGCATCTTTGAAACCTCACCTTCCCTTCTTCGATTGAAAATGATGACCTCACAAATAGTCAAAACTGCCAGTTTAGACCAATGCTTAGACGTTGGCTCACTAATTAGGGTTTGCACATATTCAGGTCGACATACCTCAATATGTGCATGCATGGCTCTAACGTCCTCAGTCAGAGGGAGCAGGTCCGGAGTGTTCCACTTGGCTTGCCGGAGGGTCTGTAGGGCAGCAGAAGAAACACAGACGTCCCACCTCTTCTCAAAAAGCAGCCGGCTTCGTTGGAGGTTTTTAATAAATAGTTCATCAACACAATGCTCCATTTTTGACTCACATTCAAGAATATCTGCTAGCTTTCTGAGGCTATGGCCAAGTTGGAGGGCCAAGGATGGAGTCTTGTATTGATTTGTTTCCTCATCATATCCAGCCACAGACCTGACTGCATCAATCACATGGTTAAAGTTGGAAGGAATAAAGAAATCCTTAATTGTTTTCAGTTTCCCTGCAGTTTTTGCTTCGTTAATTAACCTACCGACTTCTCTCATTTTCTGCCTAATGTAATCATGCTTAGTCTTATCATGCCCGTGTTTTAAGTACAGGTGCTCTCCGAGTCTCAGAATCCCCTTTTCTGCTTTGACAACACCCGTGACCTCATCCTGATGCATTGCCCAAATTAAAGACCACAGCTTTTTGCTGATGCCCTCCGGTACAGGCTGGGCTAGGGAGCAGAGGGACTGGACCCTACTTCTACCTGGTTTAGCCTGGTTTAGCCTGGGCATCTTTCTGTGAAAGCCGGCACCTGGCCACATGCCTCCACAGCGACTTTCGCTTAAGCAATGCCCCACAGTCTATACAGTGCAAAAACTCACTGGATTTAACTGGGCAATTTGGCTGTTTAGCTGGGACTAAAGTTCCAATGCCGGCCTTTAAAACCTCAACATTGTGCTCACGGTTTCCACTATTCCTGATCAAATCAAACTGAAGTTTACGTGCTTTAGATTTCACAGGTAGAGCCAATGCTCTGGCTACGTCACTTTCATTTCCATGTTTTCTAGTCAAATGACGGGACATTTTGTGGCAGGACATTGAACAGTAGAGGCAGAAGTGTCTCTTGCTTTAAACTCGCCCCCCATTTTTCTTCTTTTGCAGCTGCATGATAACAATCTTATTTGCCTTTGGTTCGTCACTTTCCGAGTCTTGAAGAAAAGTGTTTTTGATTTTTCTTTTTCCATACTTTTTTACAGGTTTCTTCTTGACAGTTAAATCGTCAGAATCTGAGTCGACTTCATCAATTAGGGACTCTTGACTAAGCTGCACAAACAACAAATAATTTGTAATCATTCTATATAACAATTTGAAGTCATGACTTGTAGTCAGCACTTACCAGTGGTTTGTAAGCGTGCGCTTCAGTGTGCTGCTCTGTGATTGGCTGCAGCCTAATGAACCACACACTTGCACCTTTTCTAGCCTGACACCTGATTTCCTCTGTTGTGCTGCTCCATGATTGGCTCCAGCCTCTGTTGTGCTGCTCCATGATTGGCTCCAGCCTCTGTTGTGCTGCTCCATGATTGGCTCCAGCCTCTGTTGTGCTGCTCCATGATTGGCTCCAGCCTGCTGGACTGAAATTGCCCCAGTGTGCCCCTCCTTGATATCCCGCAACCCACCACCAGGGTTCCGACACATAACACACTTTTTTCAGGAAAGTAAACCTCCAGGGGTCCTTTCCATATTTTTACAGAGACTGCATAAGGACCGTTAGAAAAGCATTACCCATTGATTATTAAGCTTGGACCAGTGGGGTCCGGTGTTCGGGCCCCACCACGTAAAACCAGTCCCCATGACGTGAGTGGAATCTCAGGTTATGGAACCCACCAGGAGTTGAAAACAAGTGCACACACACACACACATACACACAGAGACACACACACACAGAGACACACACACACATATACACACAGAGACACACACGCACACACACACACACACACACACATACGCACACGCAAACACACACACACACGCTGGACCAAGTGTTGTACTACTCCGATTTTGGGCTGGTACGATTGAACAAAAACACCCCTCTGACGTGGGCCGTCTTCCCACCTCTGTGGCGACTATCCGGGTCACTTGGCCTAGTTCGTTTGTGAAAACCTATGTGACCTTGCCCTGAGGCCGGTCTATATCAGGTCTAAAGCAGGTCTGAGGCCGGTCCATACCAAGTGTAAAGCAGGTCTGAATCATGTCTAAAAACAATACAATACAATGTATTCTTGTATAGCCCTAAATCACAACAGACTCATCTCAGAGACTTAACAAAACCATTGAAGTCACCAACACAGGTCAGAGAACCAACAGTTAAGACACATAAAGAATATAGAACACATGTTGATAAATGTCATATGTATGTAGAATGTTAAAATGTCCTTCTAGTTGGACACTAACTGCCCAACAGACCCTCCTGCATCGGCAAGGAAAAACTCTTAAAAAACCCAGGAAAAAGTGAAAAACCTCAGGGAGACCCACAGTTTGAGAAAGGGATCCACTCCCACGGACGGACGGGCTGTAGATCCAGGACCTAAGCTACAGAACGTGGACCCTCAGCCGCTGAACATGGACAGGTCCGGTGCAGGACTGAAGCACTCCCAGGCGGGTCGGGCGGGGCAGTCCGCAGGTGTAGATGGAGGAGGCCAGGTCCAGAGGTCCTGTCGTCGTACCATGAAACAGACAATGGGGCAACAGGTGAATAGCAATGAACAGACTACTGTCAAAATCCTAAAAATGCTAAACAGATAAAGTAGGAAGGAGAAGATAGTGCTCAAGTTACCATACTTCTCCCAGCAAACTGACTCCCTATGCAGCTTGACTGACAGTCTGAGGAGTTTAGCCTTCCCTGAGTCTTACCTTCCTGTAGAACTAAAACGGTCTAAAGTCAGATGAGGAAAGAAGGAAATGTTTTAAAAGGAGGAATAAAGTAGATGTTTCTGTGTTTGACATGATCAGTGATTGTCATGACCCGCCGCTCAGTCCTCGTCCTCAGTCCTGGATCTACAGCCTCAGTCCTGGATCTACAGCCTCAGTCCTGGATCTACAGCCTCAGTCCTGGATCTACAGCCTCAGTCCTGGATCTAAAGCCTCAGTCCTGGGTCTACAGCCTCAGTCCTGGGTCTACAGCCTCAGTCCTGGATCTACAGCCTCAGTCCTGGATCTACAGCCTCAGTCCTGGGTCTACAGCCTCAGTCCTGGATCTACAGCCTCAGTCCTGGATCTACAGCCTCAGTCCTGGATCTACAGCTTGTCCGTCAGTGGGAGTGGATTCCTCCCTCAATGTGGGCTTCCTGACGTTTCTCACTTTTCTTCCACTGGGTTTATTTTTAATTTATTTTTTAAGAGTGGTTCCTTGTCGATGTAGGAGGGTCTAAAAACAGTGGTGATGATCCAGGACACTCGACATTAAACGCTATTCATTAAAATGCATGTGACTTCTCTCCCGCTCACTTCCGTCAATAGAAGCAGCATGAGCGGGAGAGAAGTCTATAGGAGTCAGTGCGTGGACGAAGCGCTCCTCGTATTATTACGCCTCACAATATAGTACCCCTTTTTATCCGCTGAGAAAATCAACATGTTACATTTCTGTGTTACTATACTTTGTAGTGTAACACGTCACGTAACTGTATTTAAATAGGGAACACGTGGAAGAGTTTGGTAGCTTCTGACGGGAGCTGATTTGACAGGTACATATCAGCTAGTCTAAGGTATGAACATGTCAGTATGTAAACACGGTGGCCTATTCATTTAACTTCTGTTGAGATTTAGGACAATACACATATAAATGAAATAACAAGAATTTCACTCTGAACCAGAGCAGGGAAAATGGTCCGGACCGAGCAGACTCTGCAAACACCAACCAGAGGCAGCAGCTCATCACCTGCTGCTGCACTTTATTACTATTGTCAGTAACTTTAAGAGTGATGTATTTATCTGTTTGTATGATGTGCTTCTGGACACCTGCATTTCTCCTTCAGGGATCACTAAAGTATTTATCCGTAAAGTCATTCCCAATATAAACTCGCTCTAAAAAAATAAACGAGAGACAGTTTGATGGACACAGTTTTATTGCAGAAGCTCGTTTTTCCAAAAGCAGAAACCGGTGATAAATAAAAGCGTTTGTCCCTCCGGCTTGCCGTACGCACACACACACACACACACACACGCACACAGCCAGACAGACGCACAAACACACACAGCCGTACACACAGACACAGCGTAGAAAAAATACTTCTCAACAAAAATCAGCAACTTTTACTACACAGCAGCAAATAATGCGGTTTATAGTTTACAAAAAATAACATTTAGGCAAAAAAATCAGAACAGATTCTGTCTTTATACAAATAACTGCAAAACTATGGCCTGGTTAGTTTATATGGCTATAAACTAACGACTCTGTAAACTAGAACGTCAGCGGTAAAAGTCGAGCCTACTCAAAATAATTCAATATATTAAGTCATTTCAAAAGTTCAAACGTTTCAGAAATGATGCCGACGTTTCAGTCAATGCACTGTTTTTTTATAATCAGCTGCAGATTCACAATTGTCACATCTATGAATATTCATATCATTGGGCACGATTTTAAATAGCTTTTAATTCTTTGAAAATTCAATGTGAAAATATAGAAGCAGACAAAAATAATTATAATTGTTCATCGTGTACATACGATACGAATTTCAAATATTTGATTAAGTTCAGTCAAATACATGTTTTTGTGTTTTTTTTGGGGGGGGGGCGATTCTTTAAAGCGACAGTACGTAATTGTGTGCATAGCTCCACGTCAATATGGATTACAGCCTCCGTGCCAGGTTTGTGGAAAGGCGAGCCCCCACTCACAGTAAAGCAAACTTAACGCAGCGCTAACAGCATTTCTGGTTCCAAAGTTTCGTACCGTGGCTTTACCAGTGCAGTTCTCTTTCAACAAGTACCAAACAAAGTGAATGTAAAGTGAAAATAAACGTACAGGTTTTTCTCGTGTACCTAAATGAGACCGAGGGCGGCCCGCGGGACTCATGGACCGACCCTGGACTCACCAAAACCACGTGTACCGCAACGTTGCTACTTTTTCTTTGAAATGTGCGTCCGACACAAACAAACAGAACAAGGTTAAAAAGGAACGGAACCTAAAAAATGTACTTTGCTTTTGTCCATGCCACACTAAGCTAACTTTAGTGCGAGTCATGCATGTGCGAGTTGCTAATATTCTCAAATACGTGTCTCGCCGTTGCTCTCCCCTAAGTCTTCTGTCTGCCGATACCTAGCCCCTCCCCCTGCAGACGGCAAGACTCGTTCCTTGAAATGTGGAGGACTGAAAAATATATACATTTCGCCAGTCAACACGCAACTGTGGAGGCGCTGGTACCTGTCACTTCATCAAACGGGTGGGGCAAAGGGGGAGGTACCCGATTTAACACTGTTTTAGCTAAGTCTAATCGTGAACCATATCTTCGTTAGCCACGGGGGTTACAGATGATCACAGAGAGCAGCGGCGTCACTCATTTTGGTCAGAGGCTGAACAACCACAACAAAAATATCTGGTCAGGGCCAAAAGTTGTGGTTTTTTTTAACTTTGTGAAGGTATTTTGACAATACTTTTAATTGTCATGAAATGCGGTTATTACTTTTTACAATAATTTAACCAAAACTGGACAAAATATCAAATTAAACATATCGTTGTACATACTACCAATGTGTTGAGTTAAAATTTTAGGGTAAAATAAATGAGAAAACAGGTGATGTTTAACAGGCCTTGGTCGTCCATAACTATCAATGCTGTAAGTTAATTTGGATAATCAAAAATCATGTTACGGGCCATTAAAAATGATCTCACCGGCCGGATTTGGCCCACGGGCCTGAGTTTGGCATGCCTGACAGAACAGGATCAGTTAATGTCTTCTATATATTTGTGGCGAAGACCATTTCCCTCTTAGAAATGTCCCCACTGCGGGTTGGATAAATGTTCTTATTATTCTTATTAGTGTCAGAGCGCCCTCCGGAGGCTAAAGGCTGTAGTGTCATGTGGGTGCGACGCTTGGACAATTGCAAATCATCTTTGTACCGTTTTCTGAGTCGAGCAGCGGTTCCAGAGTCATTGATTTCTTTTGTTTGTTTAACTGATTATTATCATTGTATTTGTTTTTATGAAGCTGGAGTTTTAACCAAATACAAGAAGACGCTGGGACTGAACCAAAACTACAAAAGTGAGAAAAACTTGTTACTGCCGACTGATGGACCAACTATTACTATTGTGTTCTGGGTTCAGTGTGTAAAATACAATAAATAATGTGGTTATTTTCGTGACATTAACATTATGTATAACATGCCATAGTAGCCCATATTCACCTTTTACTATCAATGTTTGAAAATACAGACGTAAAGTGCCAAACTGTAGTTGTGTCCTTAGGCAAGACACTTCCCGCACATGGCCTAGAATGAGTCTGGTGCGTGTTGGTGGTCGGAGGTTGGTGCATTCTCTGACAGTGTTTAAATGCAGGTTAAAATCAGTTCAGTTCAGCTGTGGATACAACTTTTACTCTTTTTAATGTACTGTGATTATTTACGCACTTTTGTATGAACTGTTGTGTGTGAACTGTGCAATACAAATAAACTTGCCTTCAGTGTGCCTCACAGTAGTTTAACGCCTCTGTGTGCGGTGCGAAGTGCGTCATAAAACCAATGCATTATTATCACCGTATTGAAACACACGAAACTCCTGAAACCGAACCGTCACGTCGGAGTCAGACCAGGGGCCTTCAGGGGCCTATGAACTTTGACTCAAAAGGTTCAGAGTTGACGTGACGCACATTTATGTCAGAAAAATAAATACAATTTGACCTGAAACTGAAACTAGGTCACAGCCACGGCGCATCCCGGAGTAAAAATATAGACAAATAAATAAAACGTTGAAAATATCGTCAGTCCTCATTCTGGGGTTTACAAACATGTGCAAAGTGGAATCGTGTTTTGACAATTGACAATAAAGCATGTCGGGTTTTTCACTTCTGAATTTAAGTTTCAGCTCATTGAAGAAATAGTGTCAAAAACTATTTCTGAATTCACAAATGTACAACACACAACGTACCGGAAATGTATGGACGCCTTGAGGAAACTGCACTGGTGAAAGCAGGGGGCGCTAGAGAGGCACCGGCGCGGCTTCAAGATGGCTTCAAGTCAAAAGTCTTACTTAAAAATGTTTTGACCAATTTTGTTCTTGAATACATGAAAATAAATCTTAAAAATAGTCTTGAATTATATCACTAAAGAAATTTGCTTAAAAAAATTCAAGACGATTTGAAGGATTTTTGATGAATGTCAGATTTGGCTCAAATATTGTTCAGAAACAGTTCATTCAGAGTTTGATTGAAAAGCCATTTGAACGTCCGTACTTTAGCTTTTAATGTATTGTACCGTTATGAAAGAACAAAAATAAGGACCATGAAATGAAAAGTACCGTACTAACCGCAGTAACCGTAGTAACCGCAGTCTGGAGTCTCCCTTTGAAATCTCAGCTCAGAATCTATTATCAATAAATTATTAAGAAACTGAAGTCGGACGTGTTTAAATGAGTTGTAGTGACGGCTGTTGTCCAGAGGGGGCAGCAGTTTGAAGCAGCAGGTCTCAGTCTGTGGAGAGAAGAGCGTTTACGTTAGACTCCTGTCCTGATACACTGCAGTAAGTGATGACATTCAAGTGATGAAAAGTCAAAAATAGTTCAAATTTGGCAAAATGAATCTCAACTTTAGCACATTCTGACTGAGCCTTAAAACAAGATTTACCAACGGGACAAAGCAAAATGATCTTGTCTTAAAAAGATACAAGACATGTCCCTGGGAATGATAAATAAAGCAACAGTTCTTCAAATACGGCTTTGTCCCATCGGAGATTCTTGTTTTACGACGGTCAGAATGTGCTTAAATGAAGATAAACACTTGATTCAAGCATTTATGACCTCATTTGTACAAACATAAGAAACAATATTGTGTATTTAGCTCAAAATCGTCGGTCCTCAGGCAGATACAGAAACAATGGAAAACAACGAACACAAGCAGTAACACTATAGTATCAACGGTTTAACACTACAACTCTCAGAGCAGTCATTTTGACGGCCAATTCGACAGCAATTCATGAATTTTAATTAGTAGTAAGTGATTTGTTTTTTATCTTTAATACATAATAAAACTGGGTAATAGTAATGCTAACAGCTGCAAGTAAACAGCGTGTTGCTATGGTAACTTGCTCCTAGCAGGGATCGCTCGGAACCAATTTGGGATTGAGTTAATTCCATAAACTTAGAAATAAACTACATTTAGATAGAGAAAAAGTCACAAAGTTATGAAGACCAAAGACAAAACAAAAAGTAAGTAAGTCATGTTTATTTATATAGCGCATTTTACAGACCAAGGTCACCCAAAGCGCTTTACAATGTTCAGAGTCAGATATTGTTTCAATCATTCCACACACGGTGATGACGGAAGCGAGTCCAGAACACACTGGACCATCAGCTCCAATCAACACCATCCATTCACTCTATCATTTACATTCAGACCTATTGTGCATGTTTTTAGTGGTAGGGGAAACCGGAGCACCCAGAGGAAACCTACGCAGACACGGGGAGAACATGTAAACTCCAAGAAAGGCCCTGTTCCGACCGGGATTCGAACACAGGACCTTCTTGCTGAGAGACGAGAGTGCTATCCACTCAGCCACAGTGTCGCCCGTTAGCTGTTAAAGCCATTAAATTTGACATTGATGAACTTTATCCACATTTATGGACATGGACCAATGACGGTTTTGTAAAGTGCGCAGAGATAACGACTGTTGTGATTTATTGCGATACAAAAATACAACAAAGTGAATCAAACTGACTGCTCCGGGAGGTACATTAAAGTGAAGGCTAAAGTTCCATATAAGGTCAGACTGGACTCACCGCGTGTGGATGACGCCTGGTCCGAATGGCTTAAGTCGATCCTGGCGTAGGCGGCGCTCTCGGGGAGGGGCGGGGCTTCGGCAGGCACAGTTCCGGAGGCCGTGGTTGCCGTGGGCGTGGCTCCGGTGGTTGTGGGCGTGTCGGGGCCGGAGCTCTCGTCCCTAAGCTCCAGCGCGATGTAGTTGAGTCCGTTCTGGAAGTTGGCGCCGGTCCTGACGCCGGACGATGAAGACGACGACGAAGAGGCCGACGTCACCGGAGACAAACACAGGTCAGAGGTCACGGGCGACGCCTCCACGGACATCCACACGCTGTCGAAGGAGGCGGAGCTCCACCTGCACACGGACACAGCTCTTTATCACGTCTCTTCTTCTGATTGTCATTGTATTTGTTTTTATGAAGCTTTTAGCGAATACAAGAAGATGCTGGGACTGAACCAAAACTACAAAAGTTATTGCAGACTGATGGACCAATTATTATTATTGTGTACTGGCTTCAATGGGTAGAATACAATGGATGTTTTAAAGCTTTAAAATGATGTATATCATGCCATACAAGCCCATATTAACCTCTCACTATCCATGTTGGAGATGAGGCGGAGCTCGACTTACACAAAAACAGTTCTTTTCGCTTTCATTCAGCAGTGTCCAGTTACGATGTCAATACAAATCATTCTGATTGAATACTAGAACACCCAGAGCCGACATTTGGACTGTTTCCATTCAAACCAATGGAAATCTGAAAGGTTAGTGAGTTTACCATCAGTTAAATTCAAATTAACCTGTACTGTAAGTGCTAAACCTGGTGAAAATAACTTTAAATACAGAAAAAAACAGTTTGTAGAAAGGCTAATGCTAATACTAACGCTAACAGGTAGCAAGTTAAAGGACAACTCACCCTCAAATCCACTTTTTTCTGCTGATAAACGATATAAATGAGTGTCCAATAGTGTTGTCTACATATCCTGGTCATAATTTTGTCACTTTGGTGCAAATTAGTTGAAAGTTAAACTTTCTGCCTAAAACCGTCTGTGAGGCGCCATCTGCTGGCGACCAGTATTACTACATTTGAATTTTGAATCTGGCGCCAACACTGGCGCGGCAGCAAGACCTGACGTCAGCAGCCCCCCGCCCAGAGCAATGTAAACGGCCCAGTCTCGTTCACGCCCCCTTTAGTCCTCCAGGCTACGCCCATTTAGAGGAAGATTTGAACAGGAAATGTGAGTGACGTAAGCTCCGAGGAGTCGGGGTGAGAACCACTTTAACGGTATGTTAGTATGTCAAATTGACCGCTTTGCGAGTTCTAGAGTTAAAACAGCTCCTCTATCTGCCTCCACAGTATCCTTACATCTCGAACTCACCGTGAGGCCTGTCCCTCTGGTGGGCAGGCGCCGTTAGCTGCTCCGTGATTGGCTGCAGCTGTGGCGCTCGTTCCTGGTGCGTTAGTGAAGGTCTCGGAGCTGTGGCGTCTGCGGCCCTGGGGATCGGCTCGCACTACTTTGGGCTCCACCGCGGCTGCCCCGGGGCTGGCTGGCGCGCTGTACTGGCTCTCCAGCAAACACAGGCGCTGCAGCATGGCGGTGGGGCTCATGTCCGCGTAGTCGTCCGCTTTGGACCAGTGCGCCGCGCCACCTGCCCCGGGGCGGATGTAGCTTGGGGGGTTCCAGGGCGCCACCAGGCTCGGCCGGGGAGACGGGCTTTTGGGCGGCGGCTCTGACCCCACCTTTGAACACACCGACAACAATGACATTATGATCATGATCTTTAGATATATATCTAATGAGAATATTTACCTTGTAATTTCATTAACCCTTGTGCTACCCGTGGATCAAAATGACCTGTCACAGTTATTCAAAGCTAAAGAAAAATACCCTAAATTAGGATCTAAAAGGATCTAAATGACCCAGGGCAGGTCAAAATTCAGTGACCAGTCAGTTTGCCATGGTGATGTCCCAAAGTCTGCAGCAGGAAAGCAAGCTAGCGGCAAACAGGCTATCAGCCAACAAGCTAGCGGCAAGCAGACAAGATGTTGGCTGTTTTTTAAAGTAAACGAGTGACGAGAGTAAAGCGAACAGTACGTTGTTTTATGGTGCTTTCAGACCGGATCATGCGTTGCGTCAGGTTTCAATGCAAAGACTATGGTGGCGCGCGTTCGACCGTCACAACGCACGGACCTCTCGGCACGCACAAACAGACTATTCAATAATGACGCACGGACTTGGCGGGAAAGTCAAAGGGGAGGAGCAGGAGCGAAAAATCGACGCCCACAGGAGATGGATTCTGCTCATCCTTTCCTTGGGACGTCCGTGCGACAACCAATCAGAGAGCAGCAAAGTGGTCACGGGGGCATTAGCGGACTGAGCGAGCAGACTGAAAATACTTGTAAACAGCCAAAACAGGACCCACACCAGGCTTCACCAGAACTCAAACCAGGGTTGACAATGGGGGACTCTGTGCTTGTGAAAATATGTGTTGTCATGCTCCCGTGACCTTATGCAACGGCTTCGAGTGTGTTCGCCGATGCGGAAATACCGTTTAATAATATGAAAACACGTATGGCGCACCTCCGTGAACACATAATACTGTTATATAAACCCGTGGAAGGTCTGAGCAAAGACACGCTGCAAAGCTGCATATTGGAGAAGATCTGTACACGAGAAGCCGCTAGCATAGCTCTGTTAGCATCAGAGCCGGCCGGCTACTTCCGGTACTTCCGGCTCGCGTCAGGACGTTCTGGTGTGAAGTCCTCTGCGTCTGAAAACTAGAGAATGCGCGTCTGGTGAGCGGGGCTTCCGCGTTTCAGCGTTGGCGGTCTGAAAGCACCATAAGGCAAACCTGTCACGAGGTGGGTCCAAAACGAACACATATAAGTAACACCAGCAACTTTATAAAAGGTTACTCTGCGCAGCTACCTTTGCTAGCACCGCAGCTGTTTCTATGTACCATTTGTATGAGTGGAATATGATGCCGTTATCGTTGACTGTTAAAGCATTTTCTTATTGTTGAAATGAGAAATAAAACATTTAAAATTTCAGTTGTATTTGTTTTATGAATTCCCAGGGATAACACAATGCAGTAATATTTAGTCTATGTGCAGTACTCTTATTGGTTCTTCTCGAATATAAAAAGTTATATAGGTGCAACTATTTGGGCTGGGATATGCAAGAGTAATCCTCTCTTTGTACCTGAAAAAGCTGAAAAATAAATGCATTTGAAAGCCAGTGATAGAAGCAAACTATTTTAGAGCCGGGAACTAGTGACATGGATTTTATTACTGAGTGCTGCAAGTGCCCAACGAAAGTAATTTTAAGAAGTTTTGTTCACAAAGAAACTTGCTCACCTGCAGACACATGTAGTCCTGTGGGCACTCGCCGTGGGGATAGGTGGGCAGGGCCTGGTTACCGTGGGGATAGGTGGGCAGTGCCTGGTCGTCGTGGGAATAAATGGGCTGGGCCTGATTTCCGTGGGGGTAGGTGGGTGGAGCCTGGTTGCTGTGGGGGTAGGCGGGTGGCTGTTGTTGATGTGGGAGGGGCTCAAACTGGATGTTGATGTACTCTCCGGGACTGGAGTCGGAGTGGGCGGGGCCAGGCGTGGATTCGCTGGCTCTGATTGGACCGTGGAAGCTCCTGCGGCCCAGAGGGAGGCGGCAGGGGCGCATGCGGCGATCCAACATGGCGGCGGTGGTGTGGTGTGCGCTGTAGGGGGGCGGGGGATGAGCAGGGGTGCTGTGGGCAGGGCTTGGGGCAGAGCTAGCAGGCGACCTCATGGGCACATACTCGTCAGTCTCTCGTGTCGGCGTTTTGTAAGACCGCGGCAAAGAGAAGTACGGGTTGTGCGCTGTGGGTGTGGCCTCTGGTGTAGAGGGGCCGTGGCTTCCTTCAGCCCCACCCCCGCTGTAGGACATGTCCATGTACTCGCCGTTCGGGGCTCCGCCCCCTGGGAGCATCATCATGTAGCCATCTGCGTGAGGGGGTGGGGCCACGCGAGATAGCAGCGGCGAATGGGAGGGCATCATGGGCATGTAGTCCGTGTCGCGCGGCGACGCCACACCACACTGCATGGGCACGTAGCCACTGTCCTCAGGGGGTGGGGCCTGTCTGCTCTGGCTGTGTTCGGAGCATGAGCTATAGTCTGAGCGCAAAGAGGACGAGGAGGAGGACGGGCGTCCACGCAGCAACGCGCCGAAGGGTAGAGCATCCGCACACTCGTCCAGACAGAAGTTTGTCTGAGTGGTTTTCTGCAGTACCGGAACAGCGCCCCCTGTGGGCCGCGAGCAGGAGTGAGTCCTTCTGCGCACCGAGGAGTCCTCCTCGTCTGCTCCTCCCGCCTCTCGCCCACTCTCTCCTCCCACAAACACGTCACGGCTCCAGCCCATGCTCATGTAGTCACTCAGCTCCTCACGGATCGGCGGCGTGTTTCCCAGAGAGTCGGGCGTGTTGCTCCGCACACGGAAGTAGCGGAAGTCTCCAGGACTCGAGCCGTACTCGTCTGAGGAGTTAAAGCCGCCGTCTGAGGGCGAGCCGCAGAGTGAAGCACTAGATGGCCGCGTATCGGACTGGCTCATGGGGGAGGGGCCGGAGGGGCTGGGGGCAGAGGGGAAGTGTGACACGGGCAAAGACGCAGAGCGAGCGTGGTGTGCGACCGCACGGACGTACCGCGCTCCAGCCGCGCTCTCCTGTCGGCCCTGTGCGCGGCTCAGGTTCAGCTGGATCAGACTCCCGGTGGCCGAGCGCAGTGGCCGGTTCATCGTGCCCTCTCCTTCGCTGGACGTCCTGAAGCGGTAGCCGCTGGCGCCCGAGCTCTTACAGGGCGGCGTCCCGACCACAGACTCTGTTCTGGAGCGGCGCTGCAGCCCGGTCTGACTCGGGGGAAGGTTGCCGAGGTGGCGGCGCGTGGTGATGAAGGGCATGGGGTTGGAGCCAGAGGACTGGCTCTTACTACGCGGCCTGAACTCGGCAAAGGCTTTAAGCGCCTTCATGGTCTCCAAGATGGTCTCGTGCATGTTCTGAGCCACCACAGAGTCTTCCACCTGCATCCACAGCTCGCCGGGGCCCGTGGAGGACGAGCGGCCCACCTCAATGAAGAAGAAGCTCTCAGAGTGACCACAGCGCCGGATGTTCATGAGTGGAAGCGTCACGCAGGGCGTCTCGCAGTTCAACTTGACCAGATGCAGAGTCTTGGTGGAGAGGCACAGGCGGTACACGCCGGTCAGCGCCTTGGTTTGCCCCAGGCCTTTGGGCTTCACGTTCACCTGCCATACCTCTTTGAAGACGGTGGCTGGCGTGACCGTGCCGTAGCCGTCGTCCAGTTCATCCGCGTGTCCCTTCTTGCCCTGGTTCATGAGCGCGCTGACCGCCACGTACCAGTCCTCCTGCTCGGCCTCGCTCTCTGCCACCATGGCGAAGTACTCGTCTTTGGTGTAGAGCGCAATCAGGTGCTTGTTCTTGGCGTCTGCACGCTTGTTGACGGTGAAACACTGGTACAGGTAGATGACACGTTTGGGGGAGGAGGGCAGAGTGGGGGCAGGTGTCCGCAAACTACTCCTGAACTTTTTCTCACTGTCGTAATACTCCAAACGACTCGGCCCCAAGTGACTGGCGGCGCGCAGCACAAAGAAGCGCTTGTGCCCGTGCTTTTGCTTTCGTAAATATCCACATTTACGAATATCGTCTGCGGAGTCGGTGTTCACAGACGCAAACACGTGAGAGCTGCAGGCGGGCGCCTCGTCCATCACCTGAGGACACAACAGACACACAACTGTTATAACTGACAAACACGTACACGCTACAGGCAGCAAAAGGGAACAGGGAAAGAGTTGGTTGAGATCCATTTGTGTGACGACAGATTGTACAGATATAGAAACAGATCAGGTTGTGGGGTACCTCAGGGCACACACACACACAGAGCTACTTTTCCAGTGACCAATGAGCTGGGATCCATCTCAGTGATTTCTGAATAAATTCCCGCAAATAAAAGATTTGGTGCTACTATTCACTATTCAGATGTATGGCTGTATTACTACAAACAAAACCTCATCTTTGACGTCTTACTTTGTAATCTTTAATTTCAAGTTTAAACATGTGCTTGTCCGAGTACACAAACAATAATTATTATATCAGTTTAAGTTTTATTTCGAGCTGTGCACCCCATTTAAATAATGTTAGTTTTTTTTTTTTTTATACTGCTTTATTGATAATCCTGGTCACACGACACCTTCGCTGAAATCTACAAAAACAAGCTAGCAAAATGAGTAAAAAGTATAACGAGTATACAGTATAGGCTCTGTTTCCCTTTTGCAAAGAAACCTTTGAGAGACAGTGGCTCAGTTGGAAGAGCATCAACCTTTGAGCCTGAAGGTTGTGGGTTCTAGCCCACCACAAGACTTTCTACTTTGTGTGTGTGAATGGTTGGTGGTGGTCGGAGGGGCTGATGGCACAGACTGGTTGCCTCGCTTCTGTCAGTGTGCCCCAGGGCAGCTGTGGCTACAGTAGTAGATTATCACCACTGTGTATGGAGTGAATGAATAATGACATGTGAACCGTTGCATTATTATTATTATTATTATTGTAACTTCCAAGAAAAGAAAAGCTTGACAACATCATCAGGAGTAGGGCTGCACAATATTTGAAATTAGAGCGATATTCAATATGAGTGTTTAGTGTTGCGATAAAGATATTATTGCTATATTTTTGTCTGTCCCCTAAAATAGCAATCTGCATTGAAACGCAATAAGCACAACATTAATGACCTTCAAATTAATATATTTATTTACTTGTTTGTTGTTCTTGTTGAATTGAGGTGTCTGTATGTTTTGTTTTTATAAAAGGAAACATATTTTCGATATGGATATCGCACGCACCAATATCGCACTAACAGTATTGTTTTGATATATCGTGCAGCCCTAATCAGGAGCTCTGCTTGAAATATCATAGCGACCAGCAATTCCCAAGGAACAAGTCCACTTGGAGGCGACCAGCTCGCTAATGAAGCAAAACAGCCTTCAAATCTGCTCCACTACTCAAACACCAAGCTTTAGTGATTCCATAAGAATGACAGGATGCGTTGTCTGTGAGATGAAAGTGTGAGGTGTTGATTATGTTATTGTGTTTACACCAGGCTGTGTAAGGGCTGTTTGACCAATAAGAAGAGTGATGGTGCTGGGCCAGATGACCCGGCCTCCAGTCACAGGACCTGAACCCAGTCCAGATGGTTTTGGGGCTGGACCACAGAGTGAAGGGGCCAACAAGTGCTAAGCATCTCTGGGAACTCCTTCAAGACTGTTGGAGACCATTTCAGGTCCTGTTGAAGCTCATCCAGAGAATGCCAAGAGTGAAGCAGAAATCAGAGCAAAAGGTGCTACTTTGAGGAACCCAAAATATAACTTTTTTTAGTACGTACATAATTCCACATGAGTTAATTCATAGTTTTGATGCCTTCAGTGTGAATCTACAATTTTCATAATCATGAAAATAATAAACTCTTTGAATGAGAAGGTGTGCCCAAACTTTTGGTCTGTACACACATGGTGTGTGTGTGTGTGTGTGTGTCTTGAGTGTGCGATGCTTCCTCTTTTTCACTCAAACACTCTGGGTCCAGCGCTGTGCTGATTTTAGTATGTTTTATTGGTGCATTCCAAAAATGAAATTTGGTGATGCGTCTACAATAATAGCCGTCATCAAATTTTGTTGACTGATTGTTGCAGCTCTAAGCTCTAACCTTGGGGGCCCCAGTTGTCCCCACATTATTCATAATCAAAATACTTATAATAATGTAGATCATCCTTCACTACGGTGCACAGTGAAACTTCAACAAGAATCCTCAGACCCTCCGACAGTCCATCAGACTGGATATGATTATATCCTGTTGGACTGATGAACAGATCAGTCATTACTTAACCGTGCTCTGTTCTTATCGTATTGTTCATTCATATTGTCCTGTTTAAATTATTGTGCATCTGCAGAGAGAGACCTTGTGTCTAATGTCTGCAACAGACGTCATTCTCATCACTAGACGCTGGATTGAGTCGTTCACCTGTGTGTGCCGCGCTCCGCTGTCCCCCGGATCGTGGCTGCTGTGGCTCCCCAGCTGCAGAGGCCCAGATGGGGGTAACTGTCGCGGACCTCCAGTGCCGCCTCCGGCTCGGGGTTCCAGAGCGAGCACGGCTGCCTTCCCTTCGTGGTAATCAGACAGATGTGCCATGATCCAGACTAAACCCACAGACGCACCTGTGTGAGGGGAGGCACAACGATCACATGATTAAGAGGAGGCGAACGTAATGCTTCTATGAACTTGTAAAAAACACTAATCTAACAATTTCCGTCTTCATCTTATTAGAAAATATGTAATCTTTTGTGCAAGAAAGTGACCTGTGAGTCACTATTTGACTCTTTGGGCTGAGAGCAGATTGCCAAAGCTGATTGAATGACGTGACAGAGGCCAAAATTACATGCAGGTGAAATGTAGCGATAGAAACAGTTTTAGAGCCATAAATTCTATTAGAGCTGTATCGTTGTGGTTTAAAATGTACGTATCCCAGCTTTATTGTTGGGATATTGTTTTTACTCTAGTCAGAAAATCTAAAACTAATGCACACTTAAGTTATATCTAGATTTCAGACTTTCATAAAACCAATGTTAATATTGCCGTCATTCGCACATGCTTCATTCACACTTTTACCTTTTTTTTATTGTCCGAATGGGCTAACGACTCCTGTTTGTCATGAAAAACAATTATTCAAAATGTTCCTATCTATCGCACTAACAATAATAAGTTCAATACTATGAAGTTAATTTTGAATAAAAATAATAAATGAAAAATCTTCACCGCAAACAAACACACGATTACATATTTCCTAACCACAGCAAATGATTACATTTCCCATCATGTCAAGCACAGATTGGACTTGTTGGATTATCAAACAGAGCGAAGAGGCATCGTTTCTCCTAAATAACCACAGCTCAATGGCTCAGTTCGAGACTAGCCAGGCGACATTACACTAGCATCAAGTGCGAATGAGAAAAGTTATACATGCATGAAACACTCTGCGGAGACATTAGAGGACTTGCACTACGCTGGGTGGTTTGTTATTAATATGTTTTCTATATACGTCTCCTGACGATGGATTGTGGTCAAAATGTGTAACTGCACACATAAAACACTGGATAATTATTGGCCTGTTCACAGCTGCCCTCTAACGACACCTGGACGACAACAATGTGTATAAAAATGACCATATCTGCAGCCGATGTATCCTTCATCACTAATCCCAAAAACTCACTTTGAGACAATATGTTGCTTCAGAAAAGGATTGTGACTAACAATAATAGTGAAGCTTATCCCAGGGAAGCAAATGTTTGTGGAGCAAGCACTGAGGAAATAAACCCAGAATTACAATTAGGTCATATTTAGACTTCACTAACTTTTTCAACGCTCCTAAAATATTATTTTGTGAAATAAAATAGCAGGTCTTTCCACGAGGATAGTGTTTTGGTCCATCCTAAAGATACAGGCTGGCACTTTACCAACACCACTGCAGCGGGTTCATACCGAAAGAGATTATAACTCAGCTGTTTTCCTTTGGAAGTTAGAAGCATAGCTAACAACTTGACATCTGTATCGGTCATTTGGACAATCCTTCTCCTGCAACATGTAGATCAACACTACTTGACTTTTTTTTAAGTGTAAGAGGTTTGAAGTGAGGAGCAAAACAAAAATAACAATTGTAAACCGCTTTGTGACTCTGGTCTGTGAAAGGCGGTATATAAATAAAGATTACTTACTTAATTAATACAAAATATATGATTGAAAAAACACTACTTAAAAGCTGAGGTCCATAACTTTCAGACCTCATAACATTCATGTAGATGTTATGTAGTTCTTGGCTCGATCAGAGTTTATCATGCATGCCACATCTTTGGACCAGCTTTTCAGACAGAGTGAAAAAGAGGACCATCAGCCTCCAGTGTCCCACAGTGACTCCTGGAGCTAAATAAAACAGGTTTTCTAATCAGATGAAAACGGCTGCTGCGGTCTGAACAATTACCTTCATCGAAACTCTTTGTTACCAAACGACACGGGTTATATTCGAAACAGAAATGTTAGGTACCTCAGCTTTAAGTAAAACACTAGTGACTTGCCGCCTGTGATTATTAAGCACATTTCTCTGCAGTTTCCCATTATTCACCTTTTTAACAGCTCAATCGAGAGTCTGAAACACTGCTCTTCGGCGTGAGGCTCATTTCCAAGTAAAATAAATGACCAGATCTGGCCATTTCACCCGTGAGCGTGAAAACAAACCATAAAAAAGGTAAAAAAATGAGAATTATCTTGTATAAAAAGTGTCGATTTGGTGAACGCCGGGGGTCTGGGAGGTCTGCACTCCAGCCTCTTCTTGTTGTTGTTGTTGTTGTTAGCTAGCGGGCTAATCCAGGACCATATTGTGTTTGGCTAACGGCGCTAGCCCCCGGAGCGGCTGCCTCCAGATCCGCGGCCGAAAAGCCCTCAGACCGCGGGGCTTCGGGTCCTTCTCCTCCCACAGAGTCGCTGGGGGACGTAGAAGGTCTGTGTCCGGAGTTTGGAGTCGGTTAATCGTGGGTTTTCGCAGTTTTCGCACAGATTTGAGCCTCGTTAGCTTCGCGGCTGCTCCGCTGTGCACGTCCTGCACCCGGGCTGCCAGATATGCAACATGTAACACGCGAACGAGCCTTAAAAACAAAACAACTTTAACGTAGATTAAAGTAAAACACAAAGAAAATGTTTATTTATTTGTATTTAAAGCAAAAAAGGAGAAAGTACAACCAAAATGTACTATCTGTCTATTATAAGAAACGCTGAAATCATTGACAAGATTAATTAGTTTGTAAGTAACACACAGTTCTACTGAAGATTATTGATGTGTTAAAAGTTTTTGGGAGGATTTTCTTCTTATGGGTGGATCATCTAAACTATTAGTCCTCCTAATTGTCAATCTTCAAAATAATCAAAATAAAAAAGTGGATGGATGCAAATAAATTATCCTTGAATGTAAATAAAACTAAGATGATGATGTTTGGGAATCGCAACCTAACGTCTGAATCGAGAATAAGTATTAATGATATCCAAATTGAAATGGTAAGTGAAATTAAGTTTTTGGGAGTAAAAATTGATAGCAAGTTGTCATGGAAACCCCATGTCAGACACATAAAAACCAACATTTCCAAAAGCCTCTCAATTATTAACAAAGCAAAACTATACCTAAATGGAAATGCACTCCGTACATTATACTGCAGCCTGGTTCTTCCATACCTGACGTATTGTGTTGAGGTCTGGGGTAACACTTACCACAACACACTACATCCTCTCATCATATCACAGAAAAGAGCAGTGCGGATCATCCATAAGGTTGGTTTTCTGGAACATACTCATAATCTTTTTACTCAGTCAAAGCTGCTAAAGTTTGATGATCTTGTTAAATATAATACATCAATAGTCTTGTATAAAGCATTCAACAAATTATTACCGTCTAACCTGCAGCGTTTCTTTACGACTCCTGAGCGAGCTCATAACTTGAGGGGTTTTGGATATTTTTCACTGCCGAGATCAAAAACCACTCGTAAATGTTTTTGTCTGTCAGTATGTGGAGTAAAACTTTGGAATAAACTGGACTCACAACATAAGCAATGTAAAACTATTCATCGATTTAAACTGTTCTATAAACATAAGGTCTGGTTACAATATAGAGATGAGGGTCTTTAATTTAATCAGATTTTCTCTGTCTCATAGTGTAACATGTGCTCAATGTTCCATTACCTTGTTAGTATATAGAATCTTGCTATTGTTGTTTTTTTCTTTTTTTGTTCATTACCATTGTTGGTATATTTTCTATTACCATTGTTGGTATATTTTCTATTACCATTATTGGTAACTTGTTACAATGTAAATGTACTTGTTGCCCGTGATAACGCCACTCTGGTATGATACTGGCTTGAACTGTAACAGTGAAGTTGATCGTTTAATCACTGAAATGGGGATATAGGGGTGGGATTAAATAAGTTTTTTCTTCCTCCCACTCCTTTTCAGGCAGAAATATATGGCCATGTTAAACCATAGTTTTTTTGTTTATACATTTTTTGTTTACACTGTTTTTTTGTTTGTTTGTTTTTTATTGTGTTTGTCTGTTTTGTTTTTTGCTTTATATTATTTATATTACTTAATTGCTTTTAATTACCTCGTTTTCTCACTTTTGCCATTGCCTGAAATAAATTAATAAATAAAAAAATAAAAATAATCTTTCTGGCGATAATGCGAGACACGTTTTAACAGAAATTCCCTAAAATTACTTCCAAGAGGCAAAACTGGTGAATATAACTTGAAACACCGCAAAAATGTTGTTGAAAGGCTACCAAATGCTAACTGCTGTAAATAAACAGTGTGTTGCTATGGTAACAGTGAGATTGTTTTATAAAAATAATAAGACAGAAAGAAACTACATACATTGACTGCTCTGGGAGTTTAGTTCAGTCTTTATTTGAAAGGGACAGTCCACAGAAACATTAAGATCAAAGACAGATGTGTTCTGTACCAGATTACAGCTACACTGATAAACTCCATCTGCAGTCCCTGGATACATGAAAAAAACCCATACATTACAATATCAATAACAATACAGAAACTATACAATAACATACAATAACAATAACAATAACATAAACAATATCTCACAGACAATACATCCAGCTCTTTTGACTGGAATAGTGCATGCTAAAAAAACTTCTGGTCTTTCCCCCCACGCCGGGGGAGAGCTTTGACTGCAGACACTGCTCCCTCTTCATCACTGCAATCTGATACAGTGGACTGGTCCAGAACAAGGTTCTGGTTTGGACAACAATTGAGGGTTGTCCATCATGTCTTGTTTTTCAAATTGGTTGATTGGACTGGCAACGTAGATAAAATCAGTAAAGAACAACAACCACAACCACAGACAGACAGACAGACAGACAGACACACAGAGATACACACAGGCGCACGCACACACATTCGCTGTAAAGACGCCGATCTGGCAACCTTGTGGCTCGAGGCACAAACATCACGTGACCACATACGTCACATAACGAGGGAGCGGGGCCAGACTGTCTTTGCAACCTCGCTATTGGCCCGCTCCTGTAACTGGCACATTCTTGGACACCTCTCAGCCAATCAGAGGTGGGATAACTGCCCCACGTCAAAGGCTCCAACCAATCAAGTGCGCGAGAGTAGAGAGAGGGCTGGGCTTCTGCGGCTCCTGCGACAACAGCGGGGTTGCCAGGTGCGCGTCTTTCAGGACTTAGAGCTGGTTGAGCAGTCAATTTGACGGATTTTCATTTTGGAAGTGTGACGGCTCTTCTTATGCACATGTGCTCTATACTTAAAGTCTCTTTTCTTGTGATGTGGCTCCTCATTCCTACTGTTTTGTTCATGTGATGGAACACAGATAAGATAAACTTTATTGATCTCACACTGGAGAAATGTCACATTTGGCACAGACAGAATCACTCAGAAGTGTGCAACATGTGAAAGGTAAAAAATATAGTCTGTGCAGGATATAATTATGTGCAATAAAAAAGTAGCAATAGCAGCGCTGGTTCTTCAGCCCCAGTGCAGGTCATTAGTGACTTAAAGCTGCACTAACTGACTTTGGGATTTTGAAGCAGCAGACTCGCTGGCCTCTCTCTTTCTGCTCCCCTCCCCGCACCCACGAAGCTATCGCCCCCCACACACACCCACTGTTGGGACGGAGCTAGCGTCTCCCAATATGGATAATACATGGACATGGATTTGCACGTGGATGGCGTGACCTAACCTTGCCTGCAAGCTGAATTCTCGCGGTATTTGTGAGTTCACAAACACTCGAGAATACATCTTGTACCGCTCCCGCTTACACTTTTCGAGTCGAACCACTGGGTGTGCGAGCCAATCACGCGCCAGTCTGGGGGTTTAGGGCGGGATATCCGGGTTTGACGAAAGCAAGAAGTGCCGGGCTGAAGCAAAACAAACATGGCTACGCAGGAGGACGGACGCAAAGTCAGTTTTAGCAGAATCTCCAATTTCTTTTTTGAAAGATGAACAGCGAGAGGCGCTTTGTACATTTCTGGACGGCAACCTTGGTAGGCGGGCACACAGCGTCACTTCGCCCAATCAGCTTGAAGTATTCTGCTGCTTACCCCTCCTTTCCCCGAAAGGATTCTCCGGGAGAAATCCCAGATTGATATCGCGGAGAACGCGTTAGAGTTCTACACAATCATCAATCTGGCTTTTGCCAGGTTAGGCGTGACCATAAAACGATAGAACCGGGAAGCGCGGAGGAATGGGACTTTCTTTTGGATGGCTGTTTCGCTAAGTAAGCAGTAACCGGTGATGAAGACACGAAGCTTCAGGTTAGCTCCTCGGCTTGTTGTGCTAACTTAACCGTCTATGCTAACGGACCTGTAGATTTCTCACAAAAGTGGGGGCTAGTGGTCCGTTGTGATTGGTCACAATCTGCGACCCGAAACACATTCTCTTCCTTGTTTCATCAAAACTCGATCTAAAATATAATGTCACGCCAGCACAAATCTGCGCTAATTATTCTTCAAAATGACGTGTATCCCAATGCACTACATGGACATGGATAGCATTTTCGTAATAAATACGAAAATAAAGTCAGTTAGTGCAGCTTTAAAGTGACTTATTGAACAGTCTGACAGCGGTGACGATAAAGGTCCTGTAGTAGCGCTCCTTCTTACACTGAGGGTGTCTCAGTCTCCACTGAAGGAGCTCCTCAGCTCCTCTACAGCCTCCTCAGAAGGACCTCAGTCTCCTCAGAAGGACCTCATTCTCCTCAAGGACCTCAGTCTCCTCAGAAGGACCTCAGCCTCCTCAGAAGGACAGCAGCCTCCTCAGAAGGACCTCAGTCTCCTCAGAAGGACCTCATTCTCCTCAAGGACCTCAGTGTCCTCAGAAGGACCGCAGCCTCCTCAGAAGGACCTCAGCCTCCTCAGAAGGACCTCAGCCTCCTCAGAAGGACCTCAGTCTCCTCAGAAGGACCTCATTCTCCTCAAGGACCTCAGTGTCCTCAGAAGGACCGCAGCCTCCTCAGAAGGACCTCAGCCTCATCAGAAGGAAGAGGCGACTTTAGCCCTTCTTGAACAGGGCGTTGGTATTATGGACCAGTCCAGTTTATTGTTAATGTGAACAGTGAGGTTTCTCTCTATATTTTCTCAAAACAGTATAATGTAAAATCCTGTCCTCTCGCTCTGATCTTTCTCTGGTCTCTCTCTGGCTTCTTTTCAGTCTTTGATGCAAACGTTTGCTTTTGAATAAATCACGTATGTCAGACTCTTATCATTTACACTCATTTTACATTTCAAATTATAATAGGGAATTTTAGGGGCCTGAAAAACAGAAACTTTTTTATATGGTTCATATCTCCATTTTCAAATAAGAATCATAAAAAGAGACTTGAAACAATGAATCATTCACATTTTAATAAACAAATATATGTATATATACACATTGTCAGGTGAAGTGTGATTGTTTTGACAGAGCGATACAGAGTTAAAGGACAAACATTAAATTATATCTTTACAAATACAACAGAAAAAAAACAAATTGGTTCCTTCTATTTACAATGAACCTGAGAAACAATCACAGCTGTCGGGATGTGACACAGACGTTACTGAGCGAGAGGAGGTTACTGTTCAATGTCAACAGGGGCCAGAGCGAGTTGGAGCAAAACTTCACCACGAGCACTTCTCTATAGTGCTTTATTGAGGTCGCAGATTCAAATTGAGCTTAGATTAGCATTGTCCATCTATATACTGTCTATGATTGGGTCGCCACAACAAGTTCTGTAGTTTTCCCAATCCTGGCCGACATCATGCAGATGTTTGGGACCATTTTAAGACACATTTATGAGAAAATCCCGAGACCGCAGTTATTGTTTTTCGACAAGTTAGTGTGTTGGTGTGCCTAATTTTTTGTGCCTGTTTGATTTTCTATACAATACACATGGACGAGAATGACTTTGCTTTGTTAATAAAGGCTGTAAAGTTTCAATTTTGTGTCAAACTCAGCTGCTGGTTTGACATACTGATTCTTTAGAACGACAAATTGTGCCATGGCTCAAAAAGGTTGGGGAACACTGCTGTAATGGATACGTGCAGACAAAGATGTGGACCAGAGGCTCTGTTTCAGCTCCATGTCACGCACTGTGGCCTTAATGTGTGTGGAGGACTATAGCCCCGTTTCCACCAGCCCTACCCTACTCTACTCACCCTAACCCTACGACCCCTGAGTACTGTGTGAGCGTCATTGGTGGTCATCATATCATCACACTCCTCTGCCCTCCTCTTCATAGACATACAGTTGTGTGGTAGTGTAGTTGTGTGTGATTGTGTGTCAGTGGTGGGCCATCATCACGTTGTCCTCCTCTTCTTGGACGTACAGTTGTGTTACCAAACGCACATGAGAGATCATCTTCACCGCTTTGTGCAGAACCTGCTTCATGTCTCTGGACTGACACATGACCTCACTGAGGAGGAGGAGGAGAGGAGGGGGGGAGGAAGAGGAGAGGGAGGAGGAAGAGGAGGAAGAGGAGAGGGAGGAGGAGGAGGAGGAAGAGGAGGAGGAGGAGGGGGAGGAGAGGGAGGAGGAGGAGGAGGAAGAGGAGAGGGAGGAGGAGGAGGAGGAGGGGGAGGAGAGGGAGGAGGAGGAGGAGGAAGAGGAGAGGGAGGAGGAGGAGGAGGAGGGGGGGAGGAGGGAGAGGAGAGGGAGGAGGGGGAGGGAGAGGAGGAGGATGAGGAGGGGGAGGAGGACAGAAGGACAGAAGTTAGATTCCAGTATAATACAAGTACAGGGGTACTGCAGTATTATAGTACAATACAGGGGTACTGCAGCACTATAGTACTAGTACAGGAGTACTGCAGCACTATAGTACTAGTACAGGAGTACTGCAGTACTATTGTACTAGTACAGGAGTACTGCAGTACTGTTGTACTAGTACAGGAGTACTGCAGTACTATTGTACTAGTACAGGAGTACTGCGCACAGCATCATGACACTTGGACTTTGGGTGAACAGTGATGCGCTCACATGGAAGCTTCTGGAACTGTGTTTAGTGACAGCAGTGAATGTTGTCTGAGAGACCCGGGTCTGAGAGACCCGGGTCTGAGAGTCCCAGGACTGAGAGTCCCAGGACTGAGAGTCCCAGGACTGAGAGTCCCAGGACTGAGAGTCCCAGGACTGAGAGACTCAACTCTGAGAGACACGGGTCTGAGAGACTCAAGTCTGAGAGACCCGGGTCTGAGAGACTCAGGTGTGACCGAGAACTGGGTCAGACCAAACCTCAGGTCTCCAAGATGGCAGTCTGCTCTAGTCAGTGGCCTGGTCTTCTGGGACCGATGGTCCTGGTCTCAGGACCAGGGCTCAAGCTCAGGTTAGAGGGATGTGAATCCTGCTGGTCATGGCCCACACAAAGAGCGGTGGGAACCAGGAACGTTGTAATTATCAATCTCATGTTGAGAGGGAAAGGACGCTCTCCTGGTACACACTCAAGTCCTCTACACACTCATCTACACACTCAAGTCCTCTACACACTCATCTACACACTCAAGTCCTCTACACACTCATCTACACACTCAAGTCCTCTACACACTCATCTGCACACTCAAGTCCTCTACACACTCATCTACACACTCAAGTCCTCTACACACTCATCTACACACTCAAGTCCTCTACACACTCATCTACACACTCAAGTCCTCTACACACTCATGTCCTCTACACACTCATGTCCTCTACACACTCAAGTCCTCTACACACTCATGTCCTCTACACACTCATGTCCTCTACACACTCATGTCCTCTACACACTCATGTCTACACACTCATGTCTACACACTCATGTCTACACACTCATGTCCTCTACACACTCAAGTCCTCTACACACTCATGTCCTCTACACACTCATGTCCTCTACACACTCATGTCTACACACTCATGTCTACACACTCATGTCCTCTACACACTCATGTCCTCTACACACTCATGTCTACACACTCATGTCTACACACTCATGTCCTCTACACACTCATGTCCTCTACACACTCATGTCTACACACTCATGTCCTCTACACACTCATGTCTACACACTCATGTCCTCTACACACTCAAGTCCTCTACACACTCATGTCCTCTACACACTCATGTCCTCTACACACTCATGTCTACACACTCATGTCTACACACTCATGTCCTCTACACACTCATGTCCTCTACACACTCATGTCTACACACTCATGTCTACACACTCATGTCCTCTACACACTCATGTCCTCTACACACTCATGTCTACACACTCATGTCCTCTACACACTCATGTCTACACACTCATGTCCTCTACACACTCAAGTCCTCTACACACTCAAGTCCTCTACACACTCATGTCCTCTACACACTCATGTCCTCTACACACTCATGTCCTCTACACACTCATGTCCTCTACACACTCATGTCTACACACTCATGTCTACACACTCATGTCCTCTACACACTCATGTCCTCTACACACTCATGTCTACACACTCATGTCTACACACTCATGTCTACACACTCATGTCCTCTACACACTCATGTCCTCTACACACTCATGTCCTCTACACACTCATGTCTACACACTCATGTCCTCTACACACTCATGTCTACACACTCATGTCCTCTACACACTCAAGTCCTCTACACACTCAAGTCCTCTACACACTCAAGTCCTCTACACACTCATGTCCTCTACACACTAATGTCCTCTACACACTCATGTCCTCTACACACTCATGTCTACACACTCATGTCTACACACTCATGTCTACACACTCATGTCCTCTACACACTCAAGTCCTCTACACACTCATGTCCTCTACACACTCATGTCCTCTACACACTCATGTCCTCTACACACTCATGTCCTCTACACACTCATCTACACACTCAAGTCCTCTACACACTCATGTCCTCTACACACTCATGTCTACACACTCATGTCTACACACTCATGTCTACACACTCATGTCCTCTACACACTCATGTCCTCTACACACTCATGTCCTCTACACACTCAAGTCCTCTACACACTCAAGTCCTCTACACACTCAAGTCCTCTACACACTCAAGTCCTCTACACACTCATGTCTACACACTCATGTCTACACACTCATGTCCTCTACACACTCATGTCCTCTACACACTCATGTCCTCTACACACTCATGTCCTCTACACACTCAAGTCCTCTACACACTCATGTCTACACACAGCGGGGAGGAGTGGCTGCTGCCTCTGTGAAGTCGATGTAGAAGTGGAGAGGCCGGTACAAACCAGAGGATTGTTGTAAAGTCTGATGTATGTGTGTGTCCTTATGGTCTATGTCAAGATTTAATACTTGCTTCTTTATTCCTAATGTTCTGTACCTGGAGATGCAACACTGACATTTCCCCACTGTGGGACGAATACAGGATCTCTTAGTTAAGATCCTTAACACAAGCACATTTCCTTTGTATTTTGACTCTTGTGGCAAAAATAGCATGAGTGCAGGCAGCGGAGCGGAGAGCAGGTAGTGGATCGACATTATATATATACCACATGTATACCACAGTATACACATGTATACCACATGTATACCACAGTATACACATGTATACCACATGTATACCACAGTATACACATGTATACCACATGTGTAACACAGTATACATATGTATACCACATGTATACCACAGTATACACATGTATACCACAGTATACACATGTATACCACAGTATACACATGTATACCACATGTATACCACAGTATATACATGTATACCACATGTATAACACAGTATACACATGTATACCACAGTATACACATGTATACCACATGTATAACACAGTATACACATGTATACCACAGTATACACATGTATACCACATGTGTAACACAGTATACACATGTATACCACAGTATACACATGAATACCACAGTATACACATGTATACCACATGTGTAACACAGTATACACATGTATAACACAGTATACACATGTATACCACATGTGTAACACAGTATACACATGTATACCACAGTATACACATGTACACCACAGTATACAGTGTATACTGTGGTGTACATGTGTATACTGTGGTATACACGTGTATACTGTGGTATACACGTGTATACTGTGGTATACACGTGTATACTGTGGTATACACGTGTATACTGTGGTATACACGTGTATACTGTGGTACACACACATGTGGTATACATGTGTATACTATACACATGTATACCACATGTGTAACACAGTATACCACATGTATACCACAGTATACCACATGTATACCACAGTATACACGTGTATACCACAGTATACACGTGTATACCACAGTATACACGTGTATACCACAGTATACACGTGTATACCACATTATACACATGTCTGTGTTTATATGACCACACAGATGACCACAGAGGTTTCCATGCAGCGCAGCGTCACCACAGTCAAAGTCATTTCAAACTTATAAAGTAGAAGAACTGAGTTTTGTGACCCAAAGTTTTCATGTTTTTGTGGCCAATGGAGTCGAAGAGTCATGTTGTCAGTGCGACGTCACTACGCTCTAATCTGCGCGTTACAGTAATGTTATACATTTATACAAATGCATAACACTACCTCAGTTTTTCTTCTTTAAAAGTCCTTCCTGTGCCTTCCGTTTCTTGTACTGGGCTATCTCAGCCATCTGCAGCCCATGGGCCATCTGCCTGTGGACGAATCAACAATGTGAAAGTGAGAGAGGAACAGGAGCGTCGTCTGGTGCTCTACACTCCTCTGTTACAGCCTGCAATGTTTGAAACGGGGTCACTCTGTAGCATAGCCATGAATGTTTAAATGGGTTAATGTGTATTTGTTTATATTTTGGCTTAGTGTGACAGATATGTTTTTGTGAATGAACTGGGGGCGTGTCCCGGGGGGGAAGCGCTCATCAGACACCCGCCATCAGGTGCGCGGGACAGAGACTGGGAAGTTTTGGTTTTGGCCATGGCTCGAGGAAACCACAAGAGACTCGAGTCTGTGATCTGTTTTACTGTAGCGGACTGTGCGGGCCCTCGGGACGAATCCCGCATTGAAAGCCCGGTTGCCGCTAAAGCACGAACTTTGCTCGTTTGGTTTAAACGCTGCCCACACTCTGACCTGTTTGGATTACTTTCCCAGTTGGATTACTTTCGTTTCTTCATCACGTTTTGGATTTATCTTTTGGACTACACTGACTGTCACCGGAGCCACAGATTCGTCACCAGGTTTGAAAGTGGGATACACTGTGGGCGCGGGGAGGACTAAGGCTGTTATTTTGTTTATGGTTAGTGTTTGTTTTTGGACTGAGTAGATGGCGTACACATTACGCACCGCAGATCAATGAGTGGTTGTTTTTCTTTAGTCAGCGTTAGTTCAAACACAGCGTGTTTAAAGCGTCACAATTACCTCACTTTTATTTTGTAGTGCGCACGAGGGGCAGAGCGTTACAAGTTGCGGGACCAAAGCCTTCAGACATTAAAAGCGTTCTCTCATGCTGCCTTTAGGGGGCGTCACTGAGTGTTCTTTCACTTATCCTGATCATAGTTTGTTCACTTTGCTGTCGTCTGGGAGGGACTATCCTCTAATCAAAGCTAATACTGTGGGCATGAGAAGGAGTTTCTTTCCTGTAGCCATAAGACTAAACCAGATCTAACTCTGTGTATCTGTTTCTGTTTCTCTTCTTTCCCGAATACTGTGCTGAACTTCTGCTGGAGGTACATAAGAGTTTCACTGCATTTAATGTGTATAATAATAAACTCATCACTCTCTTGCTCAGGGGGCGTCTCTTATAGTGTTCTCTTATAGTGTTCTCTCATGCGGCCTGTAGGGGGGGCCTTACCCTGACGTGAGCTCCGGAGGCACTGGCAGAGGTTTGGTGAAGCCCGTCCTGCCGGTCAGCCAGTATGTCTCCTCGATCCCTTTTCCCTGAGGACAAAGATGAAGCAGCAGAAAATGAACCGGTGTTTGTGGAGATGGTCTGCTCGTCCATTTTACTGAGCTTCCTGTGGCTAACAAGACAGCCGCGGGTCCGTAGGTTAATATCATATAATAATAGTAATACTGTCAACTGTGTGAAGTGTATATAATTATACGGCATTAACAATGACTTTTCCACTAAAACAGCCGCTTTTTGGAGAAAAGTTTCAAATGTAACTTTACCACAACACCTAAAATGTTCAAAAGACTGACTCAATAAAATGAATATAGTATTGTGGAAGAGTAATGTATAATGTTGTTATTTGGCATGGATACATCCCATATCCACTTTTTAGATCCGTGTTATCAACCTGATAGAGCGGCTGAAAGCTAGCAGCTGTCGAGTTAGCCACAGGAAGCGGCCATCTGCCTTTCGTCAGTAAAATTTGTATGTATAAGCTATAATAGAATAAACGAGTTCTGAATCATTTAGAAGAGATATAAGCTCTGAATATGTTTGTTTGTTAATGGTCTGGTTTAATGCTCTGGGACTGAAATATAATACATAATGTGTCTCCTTTAAGGCGCATTACTTTTTTAAAAGTTTTAGACATTGGTCTGATGTGGAGCTAAGGAGGAAATTCGTACTGGAAGAACTAAGCTCACTGCTCAAAGTCCTCCAGCTGCTGCTTCACTGCTTCAGTCACACTGCCCCCACCTGGCAGCAATCAAGCATTGTCCTGCCTTAAGCTACTTATCGTGAGGAAGCTTCATTCAAGCAGCAGCTTTCATTCTTGCAGCAACCCTCCTCCTCCCCATCTCTCCTAGCTCCCACCAACAGGGTTTAGGCCCCGGGGGATTGTGTCTCATAATCTCTATCTTCATTTCCTCTTCTGCAGCCATCATGCCGTGCTCTGCCGTGGTCTAAGAGCAAAATCCAGAAAAGTTTACAATAAATGTAATATAACAAATATTGTCTTGAGAGTCGTGTACTAATTTATCCAGTGTCAGTTAATTGTAACCAATATGTAATTCCGTATTCTACTGTGAACCACATGTGCTAACCACTGCGCCACTGCGCCGCCCTTCGAGTCTCTCCAGTTTGAAATTCCATTCAGACGAGTAGTGAAAAAGAAAACAGCTGTGCCTCTTACCCGGACCTCCGTGCGGCCCCTGAGAACCACAGAGTAGCCCAGGTCCAGCTCCTGCAGGACCCTCACCGTGCTCTGGTGGACGTGGATGCGGTACGCTGTGGAGAGACACAATCACAACTGTTGTGTTTTTGGCAGTAGATGTGAAATGATTGACTCAAGATCAGATTAATTGTTATTGCAATAAATTGTGTAATAATAGTTCTATGAAGACTTTAATGAGACGGTTCTCAATCTGAGTACGTACGCAGGCCGGTGGACTCCATCCGCGACGCTGTGGTCACTGTGTCTCCAAACAGACAGTAGCGAGGCATGGTGAGTCCTACCACCCCGGCCACACACGAGCCTGCACACAACACACACACACATAACACACACACACACACACAAAACACACACACATAACACACACACAAATAACACACATATACATAACACACACACACACACATATCACATACACACACACACATAACACACACAGAAACACACACACACACACATAACACACACAGAAACACACACACACAACACAATCATGGTGAATCCACCAGCCACACACCAGGCTCTTCAATACTGTTAATTTGTGCATTAGGGCTGGTACCTGTGTGCAGGCCAATGCGGATGCGCACTGGGACGTCTGGCATGTGTCTCATCTTGAACGTCCCCACGGCGCTCAGGATGTCCAGGGCCATGTTGGCGATTTCTGCTGCGTGCCGTTTACCGTTGGGAACGGGGACTCCGGACGCCACCATGTAGGCGTCTCCGATGGTCTCCACCTGAAGAGGTGGAAGGAGACATGTTCTGCAGTCTGTGTGTGTGAGAGAGAATTCTGTCTGTGTGTGTGTATTCTGTCTTTGTTTGTTTGTGTGTGTATATGTGTGTGAGAGAGTTCTGCGTGTGCGTCTTGCGAGAGTTTTGTCAGTGTGTGTGTGTGTGTGAGTTCTGCATACATATGTGTGAGTTATCTGAGTGTGTGTATATGTGTCAAAGAGTTCTGTGTGGGTGCCTGTTGTATGGGTGTGTTATGGTCACACACCTTGTACACATCGTGGTTGCCGATGATGGCGTCGAACAGAGTGTAGAGGTCGTTGAGGAGGTCGACCACTTCGATGGGTTCACTGTTCGCTGAGATGGTGGTGAAGCCGACGATGTCACTGAAGTAAAGTGACACGTCCTCAAAGTGCTCCGGGACCACGGTACCACCCACTTTCAGGGCCTCCGCCACGGACCTGGAACCAGAGACCAGAGACCAAACTGTGCCAAGAGACCAGACTGAGACCTAAGACCAAAAACCTGGGACCATAGATCAGAAGAACACACAAAGCCATTGGTCCATAAGTGGCGGCTGACCAAGGACCACAGAATAGAATAGTGATAGATATTAGAATAGTGATAGATGACCATAAATGTCCTTAAATGGGCTGGATTATCACTACTGTCCGTATATCCTCCTGCTTCAGAGAGGAACAACTAAAAACTCAGTGGGAAAAAGTGAAAAACCTCTGGAAGAACCACATTGAGGGAGGGATCTGCTCCCACGGACAGTCAGGCAATAGATCCAGGACTCAGGCTGCAGAACAAGGACCGAGGCTATGTAGACAGACCAGACTGAGATATGGGTACAGAGACCGGACGGGAACCTGGGACCAGATAAAGACCAGAGCCCAGACCTGGGTCTTGGGACCTGGCACCAGAGACTCTGTGACTAGTATGTCTGAACGCTAAGACTGAGTCCGGTCTCAGAATTCAAGGCAGGCCTCGTTGCCTGAATACCACAGCCAGGAATAGGACTCTGGTTCTATTTTGTGGACCAGAGACAAGCCTAAGACCTGGGACCAGAGAACAGAGACTGGACTGAAACCAGGGACCAGACTGAGACCTGGCACCAAAGACCTGTTTTCAGTCGGCCCCCCGTTCGGTCGGCCCCCGTTCGGTCGGCCCCCGTTCGGTCGGCCCCCGTTCGGTCGGCCCCCGTTCGGTCGGCCCCCCGTTCGGTCGGCCCCCGTTCGGTCGGCCCCCGTTCGGTCGGCCCCCGTTCGGTCGGCCCCCGTTCGGTCGGCCCCCCGTTCGGTCGGTCCACGTTTGGTTGGTCCCAGTTTTGTCAGTCCTTGTATGGGCGGTTCCTGTATGAGCAGTCCCTTCACTCACGGCGGCAGCATCTGCGTTAAGAGCTTCTCGGTCTTCTGTTTCTCGATCTCCAGTTCCTCGGTTCTCTCTCGGATCAGTTCCTCCAGGTTTGATGAGTACTGCTCCAGCATCCGCAGCATCGAGTCGATAATGTTTGTCTTCTTCCCTTTGTTTATGTTCTTAAACTATCAACAAACACACTGTTTTATTTGGATTCAGATTAAATATAGTCCTATGTTCAGACACACATGTGCACGCACACAGGCGTGCACACACGCACACACCTACATATACACGAGTACACACATACACACACAAACCGAAGACACACATACACTGGAGACTTCTGATCAGGGTCAGAAGAGGAAATTTTAGCCTCATTGTGATTTGAAAAGAGAAAACATGTTTATTTTACAACAAATGGTTTCACACAACTATTAAAATTAGTGAAAGAATAATGACATGTGAAGCGTCCAAAAACTATATAAAACCAATGCATTATTTTATAATGCTCTGCCACAGGGGGCGCTGTAGAGCTGTGTCTTCTGGAATGAGACTTTGGTGCTCGTGAACCTCAGATCTTCACCTGATCAAAAACGTCCTCAAAGTCCGGCCTCTTGTCTGGATGCTCGGTCCAGCACTGCTTCATCAGCTGGATACACTCCATGGGGGCGTAGTCGGGACTCACCAGGGGGCGGCAGAGAGGCGGGGGGCGGATCAGCTTCTCGATGACCTCTGCAACAACATGAAGACTCACACATGGGTCATTCCCTTCGACTTCTGACCATAAGATAAGATAAGAAATAAGGAAATTTCAATGTCATAGTTGCGCAAAGCAGACTGTAATAAGATAATAATACTCTGGAGCTATTATTGCACTTGGTTCAAGGATAAGTCCACTCACACGTCGAGTAAAGTCAGCTGCATACACGCACACACTTACCTTCAGAGAACACTGACACACACTGACCTTCAGGGGACACAGACACATGCACTGACCTTCAGGGGACACACAGACACACACTGACCTTCAGGGGACACACAGACACACACTGACCTTCAGGGGACACACACACTTACCTTCAGAGGACACAGACACACACTTACCTTCAGGGGGCACACACTGACCTTTAGGGGACACACAGACACACACTGACCTTCAGGGGACACACACACACACACACACTTACCTTCAGAGGACACAGATACACACTTACCTTTAGGGGACACACAGACACACACTGACCTTTAGGGGACACACAGACACACACTGACCTTCAGGGGACACACAGACACTGACCTTCAGGGGACACAGACACACACTTACCTTCAGAGGACGCACACTGTTTAAACCTGATTCATCTTATCTAAATGGATAAGTTGCATTTATGTTGCTGAGCGAATGATTGCAAAGATAATAACGTCAAGTTTCACTCCTGCAGCTGCAATAATGACCAATTATAAGCTTGTGTAATCTCTCTCTCACACACACACTCACACACACACACTCGCACACACTGACCTTCAGAGGACAGGTCTAACATGCAGTATGGGGATCCGCGGACCACCACCTCCTGCATGATGATGGCAAAGCTGAAGACGTCTCCAGCAAAGGAGCCGTGAGGAGGAGGAGCAGTGCGCAGCAACTCAGGGGCCGTCCACAGGAGGTCTGCAACACCACGCAACACACATTTATCTGGAGATGCATTTCACCCTGGGAGACATAAAGGTCCTTGTTCTTTCTTAAACGTATGATTTGTTTTAATCTTGTCTGTGGTGGTCTCTCTTCTATATTTGATGGTTTTATTTTATAGTTCATACAAAATAAAATACATAAAAGCCTTCAATGTTAAACAGTGCACCTCATATTCCGGTGAGGCCTCTGCATACATTTCTGCCAGTGTTTACAGACCTAGCAGTATTTTCATAACTGACTTTTGTTTACAACTGACACATGTTACAACTGAAACATTTTGAGAGTTATTTATATTATAGAGTTTATAATACAAGCAGAGGTGACCAGCATAAATGAATGTGCCTTATAATCATGTCTGTCTTGTTTAAACTAAACACGATCAAATGGCGCCAACTGCGCTGGAGCTAATTGTCCCCAGGGAGGACCGGATTGTTGAACCAAAGAGCAAAAGAGAGACAAACACTCTAAGCTCACAGCAGATCTGCCAGCTACGAACCAGGTGTAGGGGTTTGGCCACTCATTCCAGCGAGAGTTTAAAATCCTTGCCTTTAGAGGACAACAGTCAAGAAAAGCTGCCAAGAACCTCCTTGATGCCGCAGAAAAGGCCTCTCGGTGGCTGTGAATCCATAGGGGAATACCTGGTGTGCTACTTGGATACAAACCGGGGACTGATCACCTCCAGTTGAGTCACCTGGCGAGGGCGTCTGATTTTATAATATCACTAAATCTTAAGGTTTTATTTAGCATTAATAAATTATTGGTAGGTGCTAAATACCATCATTTAGCTGAGGCCCAGATATTGAAAGCGTTATGCCACTCATAACAACAGTGTTATCTATAAAAAGGAGGTCTTTAATAAAAGGAGAAAGGAGCAGGAGGTCATGACCCTCACCGTCTGCAGTCTCCTGATTCTGGACGTTCTGTGCCTCCAGAACCTCCTTGAAGCCGAAGTCTGTGACCTTCAGCACGAAGCGACCGTCCACGACACAGTTCCTGGACTTCAGCCGTGAGTGGACCACACTGCGGTGGTGCAGGTACTTCATGCCCTGGACACATGGAATAACAGGTAGATAACATGTAATTAACCACAGGGACCACACCCTTTGTCTTCAAAAGTAAGTAAGTAATCTTTATTTATATACCGCCTTTCACAGACCAGAGTCACAAAGCGGTTTACAATTGTGGGCATTTGTCTCTCACTCCACACAGAGATGGGAGCGGGGCCAGTACAGGAGGTGCATGCCAGACCTATTGTACATGTGGTAGGGGAAACCGGAGCACCCTGTGGAAACCTATGCAGGAACAGGGAGAACACACCAATTCCACTCAGAAAGCCCCTGTTCTGACCGGGATTCGAACCCAGGACCGCTGAGAAGCAAGTGTGCTATCCACTCAGCCACCTAAAAACAAACACTCAGTCAAAAAAAAAAAATCTCTCTGTAGAACACTCAAGTGTTGGAGATTTGGGGGGTCATGTGCGTTGGGCCATTGACAAGCTCCCCCCAGATTTATAACCTGGATTAGCCTTCAGTGAAAGTGATCAACCCATTTTTCTTCTTTTTTTAAATGAAAGATAATTATTTGTAGCCTGACGTCAACCTCATGATGTGAGTCTGAAACTGATCCATTGGGCTGTGATTATGGGGCGTGTTCCAAACAAACAGGGAAAAACACTGGCTCTTCGCTCTATTGTCCAACAACCAACCAGAGCAACGTGATAAACACACGTGCACTCCTCGTTTCAGTGTAATTTACACTGTTGTATCTGACAAGGTTCTACTCATCACAAACAACAAGTGATGGACACACATGACCCAGAGGAGATCCAGCGTCCAGCGGCTCTTCTTGGACATACAGTATTTGGACCTGTACCTTGATGAGGTCCAGCAGCAGAGACGACTTGAACATCCAGTCCAGCTTGACCTCCTGGTTCAGCAGTAGATCCTCCAGACTTCCTCTGGAGCAAAACTCTGAGACCACAGCGAAGACCCCACAGTCCAGGAAGAACCCAAGGAACAGGTTCACATTCTCATGACGAAGGTCCCGCATCTGTCAGGGAGACCGGACATCACCCATGGGACCAAACAAACATCCAGGTGAGTCCATCTAAAACAGCTCTTCTATCTGCCTTCACTCACCAGCTCAAACAGCTCACTGGTTTTCTGGTTGATTTCACTGGAGGAACCATCTGGGAGCCTCTTGAGCCACGCCCAGTCGCCCTGAGGAGCCAAAGAACCAGTTTTATACATAGCATAAATGTGTAAATCAATTTCTAATTAACTGCTCAGTGTGCATTTTAAGTCTTCTTTATGTTTTGTTCTGATTTGTGTCTCTGTTTGTTGAGAAATATCTGCCATAAAGCCATATTTACACTCTAACGTAAACCACGGCTGCAAGTATAAAACATTTAGCCATTTTCTCTCTGTTGACGCGTATGTAACACTGGGAAAGATTGGCGGGTTGTTTGGAACTGTGATGGCTTTACACCAGGGGGGAAACAGGAAAGTGTCAAAATAAAAGGTATTCGTCACAGCACGAGAATCCAGGACCAGAGAAAGACGGGATACCAGAGAGATTCCAGGGAGAGGTCAGAGACAAGAGAGAGACCAGAGTGAAACCAGAGAAACCATAGAGAGACCGGATACCAGAGAGATTCTTGGGAGAGGTCGGAGACAAGAGAGAGACCAGAGAGAGACCAGAGAAACCAAAGTGAGACCAGATACCAGAGAGATTCTTGGGAGAGCAGTATAGACACTTTCAAACAGATTTTTTTTACCAGGACAATATTATAGAGGAAAGAGCAGCACATGCAACAAAACAAACTCTGACGGTGTGAGCCTCACTCCCCTGAACACGGCTCCACGGCTCGTTACGCTGTCACTATGCAAAGTATTGGTTGTGTGATTAGACTGGGCCTGTGGGAGCGGTCAGTCTGTGTGTGTGTGTACCTCATAGATGACCACGTTGGAGTTCTCATATGTGGCCGGTGACTGCGTGGACTCGGCTGAGGCGTGGCTCAGAGTGGACACGCTCTTCAGACCGCTGCTCTGGCTCTCTTCACGACGCAACTTCTGCAAACAAAAGTGAGACATGAGATACAGACTGTTCTCAGCGACTGTGCAGGTTAAAGTTCAATCCAACTCAATTTATTATGGTATCGCCGTAAAACACAACAGCGATTATCTTGGAGGACTTTACTAAGCTGTTGATTCGTCAACACAGATCAGAGAAACAAACAATTCAAACACAGGTAATGCAAAAGTCCATAAATGTTGTTGAATGTCGAGTGTCCTGGATCATCACCACTGTCCTTGGACCCTCCTGCTTCGGTAAACTCCAAACACCCAGTGTGAGCACATTAGAAATCTTGGGGATGCCCACATTGAGAGAGTGATCTCCCACAGACGGACAGGATGTAGGTCCAGGACTCAGTAGAACAAGGACTGAGCCAGCTCCCATGCGGGGAGGCCAGGGAAGACAGTCCACAGGGGCCGATGGAGGAGGCCGGGTTCAGGGCAGGAGGTTGGGGGCGTCGCCAGAACACAGGCTCCCATGTGTCCTGATCTTAAAGGGGCCACAGGCTGCTCCACTTTTGTCTTTAGTTTACTTGATTTATCTACATATTGATTCACCACAGAGGACGACAATGGCTCAGTTGGTAGAGCAATGGCCTTTGAGTCGGAAGGTCGTGGGTTCGAGACCTTCTCCACTACAAACTGCCACTGATGCCAATGTGTCCTTGAGCAAGACACTTAACCCCACTTTGCCTGAAGCCACCGCTAAAAGATCAAGGCTGAGCTTTGACCACACACACCTACAACACTGCATACACCACTGATACATGTTCACGTTATTTTTGTTCCTGAAATACTTTAAAAAACCTTTATTGTTTGTGTTTTTGATGCTACTCCTGAGCCCGAGTAGGAATAGTAAACAGATAACCTCTTCGTATTGAGTTATTCCTTTTTAAAACCAACCAAACCCTTCTGTCTCTACAGCTCTACAGCGCCCCCTATGGTTCATTATTTTTAGGGCTGTCAAAATTATCGCGTTAACTCCCGTCAATTACATTTTTAATTAATGTGTTAAAAAATATATATATTACACAATAACGCATGTCCGAATGACCCGCCATGTATCCCATACAATCACTCAGAATGCCGCGGACAAATGCGTGTGTGAGATGGTGACAAAGCAGGTCTCTGGGAATTCAAGTTTTAAAAGAATACGCCCATGACCGCGGGGCACTTGCTGTTGTTTGCTCTGAACTGAAGTCCGCATCCTCCGTGGCCGCAACGTTCTGACCCGGGGCAGCTGCGGCCGCTCTGGACAGAGGTTCCCACCTCTAGTGGCTGTGAGCCGCTAACAACAACACGGCGAATGGCGCCGCGGTAACATGATCAAAGACCATACACGCACAGGACTATTCTCTGCATGTTGTGTGCGTGTCTTTGTGTAAACTGTGCACGCAAATACACCGCTGAAGCTGAACTATGGAGCCTCAGGAAGTGTCCGTGTCTCCTCCTGAAACGCAACTAAACTCCCTTAAAGTGGGACATTTCCTGTTCAAATCTTCCTCTAAATGGGCGTAGCCTGGAGGACTAAAGGGGGCGTGAACGAGACTGGGCCGTTTACATTGCTCTGGGCGGGGGGCTGCTGACGTCAGGTCCAACTTGCAGACGTCAGGTCCAACTTCTGTGCCAGTGTTGGCGCCAGATTCAAAATTCAAATGTAGTAATACAGGTCGCCAGCAGATGGCACCTCACAGACGGTTTTAGGCAGAAAGTCTAACTTTCAACTAATTTGCACCAAAGTGACAAGATTATGACCAGGATATGTAGACAACACTATTGGACACTCATTTATACCGTTTATCAGCAAAAAAAAGTGGATTTGAGGGTGAGTTGTCCTTTAATTAAAGCTGGGGTACGAAAATGTTCCCTTTCATTAACAGCTCATGTTGGTTGCACCCAAAAGTAAAAGGTTGTGAATCAAACAGATTGAAGTACATTTGGTATGAATGACAATATGTCATTACATTTGATAAACTCATTTAACTTCAATTGGAGTGGATTTAGAATAGAATGTAAAAAATGTGATTAATCATGAGTTAACTCACCATGACCATGCGATTAATCAACTAAAAATTTTGATTGTTTTACAGCCCTAATTATTATACATTTATCAAAAATGTAATCCCAACACATGGACAGAAGCTGAAGACAGAACATTTTGACTCCGATGAACTCGACATAAAGTCACGTGACACAAACCTTGTTGCTAAGTGACGGGTTGATGAAAGTGACGTCGTCCAGGGTGAGGCGGATTTTGTTCGAACCTCGGACCATTCGGAACTGCATCAAGCGCCGCCTAGGGGACGAGAGGGGGACTGCATCTTTAACTGTCTTTGCTGGTCATTGTGTGGCTTCAGTTTCAGCTCAGACACAGACATCAAAGGAGATTATTGGAGCAAAATGAAGACACAAAAGCAGCAGAGGTGTCGTTACCGGAGGCTGTAGACCAGAGATAGGACAGACACGAAAGAGGCCACGGCACAGACCAACACAGCCAGAGTGGAAAACCAGTCGGCTCCTGAACAAACACATTCAAATACACTTGGTATTTTGGCACATTATGAGACAATTAACTTCATAACTCCATGTTTTAGAATGTGACATAAGAATAGTAACGGCTTCAGTAGAAAATGAATGGCAGGTCTGAGGCAGGACTGAGGCTGGTCTGAGGCTGGTCTGAGGCTGGTCTAAGGCTGGTCTAAGGCAGGTCTGAGGCAGGTCTGAAGGTCGCGACGTGTGAATAGTAGCAGCTCACCTCCAGAGCAGAGCAGTCCCGGCCTGAACCAGCAGGGGGGGTCTCTGCTTGGACCTGATCCTCCGGGGAAGTGGATCTCTGTCCCCAAGAACTGGACCAACCCCAGGGCCGCATCAAGTCTGAAGAAGAGAGGTCTGAACCAGGACTGAAGCAGGACTGAAGCAGGACTGGACCAGGACTGAAGCAGGACTGGACCAGGACTGAAGCAGGACTGGACCAGGACTGAACCAGGACTGGACCAGGACTGAAGTAGGACTGAACTAGGACTACACCAAGACTGAACCAGGTCTAAACCAGGTCTAAACAAGATCTTAACCAGAACTGAACCAGGTCTAAACCATGACTGAACCAGGACTGAACCATGTCTAAACCATGACTGAACCAGAACTGAACCAGAACTGAACCAGGACTAAACCATGTCTAAACCAGGACTGAACCAGGACTGAACTAGGACTGAACCATGTCTAAAACTAGGTCTGATCTAAGTCTGAACCAGGATTGGACCAGAACCAAAGGTCTCAGTGTCATGACTAGGACAGATTCCAAATGTAAGTTTTACAATGTGAATGAACTCTGAGCTTAGATCCTAGTACATGGATCATGAGTCTGGTCTTGGTCCGGGTCCGGGTCATGGTCCGGGTGCTGGTCCAGGTCTGGGTTCAGGTCCAGGTCTGGGTGTTATGTTAAAGATGACCTATGACCTGTGCGTAGGCCTGAGCTCGGGTCTCTCTCCGTTTGAGTCCAGGACGATGAAGTCTGTCAGAGCGGAACCAGAGGCGTCGGTTTTAACAGGAAAACTGAAGCCCTGAACACAACACACACACACATGAACACAACACACACACACATGAACACAACACACACACACATGAACACGTACGCACACATGAACACAACACACACACACACATGAATACAACACACACATGGACACAACACACACAAACACATGAACACACCTACACACACACATGGACACAACACACACATGAACACACACACACACACACATGAATACCACACACACATGGACACAACACACACAAACACATGAACACCTAAACACACACACATGGACACAACATACACATGGACACAACACACACACATGAACACAAAATACACACACACACAAATGAACACACACACACACATGACACACACACACACACATGACACACACACACACATGAACACACACACACACACACATGAATACCACACACACAGGAACACACCTACACACACACAACACATGAACACACCTACACACACACATGGACACAACATACACATGAACACATGAACACACACACACATGAACACACACACACACATGAACACACACACACACACACATGAACACAACACACACATGGACACAACACACACATGAACACACACACACACACACATGAATACAACACACACATGAACACACACACACATGATGAACATGTACACACACACGGACCTTGACACCTAACACCTAAACACCTGAACACCTAAACACACACACATGGACACAACACACACAAATGAACACACACACACATGAACACAACACACACACAAATGAACACATACACACACACATGAACACACCCACACAAACACAAACACAACAAACACACCTGAACACACAACACACACACACACACAACACAACACATGAACACACCTACACACAACACACACATGAACACACCTACACACACAACACAACACATGAACACACCTACACACACAACACAACACATGAACACACCTACACACACAACACACACACACATGAACACACTACACACACATGAACACAACACACAAACATGGACACAATACATACACAGACACACACATACATATGAACTCACCCACACACACACACACACACAGAAGGCTATAAAAGTTAGGTCCCCGAGCTTTAACAGGGTCAGTGAGGTGTGCGGGTGTGAGACCTGGAAGTGCAGGTTGGAGGTGCTCTTGGCCAGGTTTCCCCCAGAAACCCAGTCTCCTCTGAGCCGCAGTCTGTGCAGAGCGTGGGCCACGAGGAGGACCGACGAGTAGATGGTCCCGAAGAGCGGAGACACCTGTGCGGAGAAAGAAGGCAAGTTTATTTGTATAGCACAGATCATACACAAAGATACAATCACACAAGGCATTCAAATCATAAAGGATCACAGTGCAGAAACAAGACAGGGCGAGGCTAAGGCACAGCAAGAAGGTCCTGGGTTCAATTCCACCTTCATGTCTGGAGCATGTTCTCCCCGTGTCTGTGTAGGTTTCCTCTGGGTGCTCCGGTTTTCCCCTGCCACTAATTAACATATACAAAAGGTCTGGCATCCATCACTGTGTGGAGTGAGAGAACAAATGCCCACAACAAATCTAAAAGCGCTTTGACCTTGGTCTGTAAAAAGCACATATGAATAAATATTACTTACTCACTACTTACTTTTAATTAAATATTACTTACTTTCTGCTTCCTGAGAGTCACGGAGACACCTGTGGCTCCCTTATCCTTAAACGTTGCTTTAAACGTATGTAATCTGCTCTCAGTGTAATGACTGCTGTTCTGGGAGAGTCTGTATTGGTCACTAAACAGCATCATGAAGGCTGATGAACAAAACATCACAAGCCTAACCACGTATGGCACAACTGCAAATCTACCAAGACTTGGCCGTCTGCCTAAACTCACAGCACAAACATGAAGCTGAAGCGGATATTCAGACTGAAAGACCGAATGCAAATTCCCCCTTCCAAGCCTGAAAATCACACAGCTCTGCCAGCCTCGAGCCTCAGCCAATTACACAGCTCTGCCAGCCCTGAGCCTCAGCCAATCACACAGCTCTGCCAGCCCTGAGCCTCAGCCAATCACACAGCTCTGCCAGCCCTGAGCCTCAGCCAATCACACAGCTCTGCCAGCCTCGAGCCTCAGCCAATCACACAGCTCTGCCAGCCTCGAGCCTCAGCCAATCACACAGCTCTGCCAGCCCTGAGCCTCAGCCAATCACACAGCCTGGCCAACCTCCTGCCAGCCCTCTCACAGCAAAGTGGGCAGTTTAAAAGGCAGCTACTTCCTGACAAGCAACGCTTCCTGAGGCTCTTAAACACCCACCACCTCCCCAGCCCCCCCTCTGGTTCCTGCTCTGGCTCTGGCTCTAGGCTCCTGCTCTGGCTCTGGCTCCGCCCACGCCCCATTCACACCATACTCTAGCCACCACCAGTGCTTGACCCCGGGGGATCTGAGATCATCTTCAGCTGCAATCGATCTCATTGCTGCAAGTGTTGCTGCCGGGGTCAATAAAAATAAATAATTTTAATTATTAATTGTGTCTTTGGTCTCTTCAGATTGAAAAAGACAAGACTGATCACAGATGCAGACATGAGGCTCACTGGGAGAATCTGTGCATAAGGCTAAAGTTAGTCGGACTCTACACAGGACGAGCGGAAGAAGAAAGTGTTGAAGTGAAGGTGCCAGAAGCAAAGCGACCACGTGTGGAAGCAGATGCTGTGGTCAGAGCACACCAACATGACACTCGTCCCAAATGTAAAACGTTCTGCATCACTCAGAATGCATAACTAAGACTAACATCCGCCGAGTCGAATAACATTTCTTCAACAGAGAAAGGGAAAAGTGCCAAGAGGTTTTTTAAAGGACTATTTATAGGACTATATTGAAGAAACACTGCTGAAGCTGAAGTTCATCCATCTATGCATTTCCTTCAACCAGGGTGAGGGGAGCGGGAGCAATATATTTCTTGCAGAGTATACAGTATTCATAATTATGCCTCTTTAATGAGCTAAAGATTGTTCAGTATAGAGTTGTGCCATACTTAATATTTATATTGTGCTCCTCATTCTTAGTGTGATGCAACACTGAAATGTCCCGCTGTGGGAAAAATAAAGAAGCTCTTCATCCTAAAAACAATAAACGGTTTTGACCAAGATGAGTTAAATACACCTGGGGAAAGTGAAACACCCCCTGGTCTACACTGGAGAACAAAAAGATAAGATAAGAATTCCTTTATTCGTCCCACAGTGGGGAAATGTCGCTGTTGCAGCGCACAGACAGGACAGTAGTAAGAGCACACAGGGAGCACACACAATATATACAAATAAGTAGTAGCTATGTTTCTTAGCTAACATAACTAGCTGTAGATGCTGAAAAAAACAAAAAGGTTGGGGACCACTGTTCTACAACACTTTGCTAAAGTTAGAAAAGATTGCAACATTTCCACTAAAGCCACAAACGATGGAGCGATAAGGAACAGGAACATATTCATGTGTGTGTGTTGAATCTTTGTTCAGCTCAGTTTAACACAAACCGAGAGGAAGTATTAAAACGTGTTAAATCCAAAAAAATTGTATTGTATTGTATTGTTGTCTCCTCTCCCAGGCTTTAGCAACAAAAGAAGCAAAGGCAAAAACTTCATGGTGTTACATCCAGTTCATAATTTCTCCCTCAGGCCCAAGACTTCTGGGTTAGACGCATTTACTTTTTCAAATAAAATGTTTCGATACTCAAAGTAAAGTGGGCAGTACAAAACATAATGAGGCTCGTCCTCTACCACCCCCAGGTCACTCACTGCACAGAGACGGGCCTCTTCAGGAGCCGCTTTAAAGCGCCTCCACTGCCAGAGGCAAAGTGCTGGTCTCAGCTGGGCTCACAGAGACCGCTGCCTTCTGGGTCCGTTAAACTGTATGAACAGTTCTGTGTAAAACTACTGTTTAAATAAAATATAATGTCTTAACTTAGGTTTCCTGCACATATCAAGTTTCCATTGTGCTTTAAACTCTGTTAACGCGTTTTGTTTAAACAAACTTACATCACATTTTAATTTATTAAGATAAACATAATTTAAATGAGAACTTCAAAATACTTCCACCATTTCTCTAGACCAGGGGTATTTGTTTGAACAGTTCCAAATAAAAATCTTTTTTGTGAGCCTGTGATTGGGCAGCTGGATGAGTTTTATTTTATTTATTTAGTTCAAGTAAAGAAAAAATAACAATCACAGTCAATTACAATTCACAATTTATGCACTCCTAAAAATGTTCTAATGGCTCTATTCTGGAGAGAATTAACATTGTTTAGGGCCAGTACACCAAGCACTTAAAATATTTAACATCATCTGTAATTTGTCTTCAGTCTCTGCCAGCAGACTTAAGTTGAAGTAATCAATACAAATACCAAGGTTGGCTTCTTTAATTTCATTCACCAGGTCGTTTATATACAAAGAAAATAAAGTTAGTGATAATACATCGCCTGTTTCACTCCAAAAGGGGGGAAACCAACCCGTTCTTAAAATGTTGATTTGCACGCAGCAACAGGGGCCCGGTAGAGGGACTTGATTGCATCATAAAACCTCCCTTTAATACCATATCCCAGCAACTTATACTACAGAAGAGCCCTGTTAACCCAATCAAATGCTTTTTGCAAATCAAAGATGCAGGCAAATGTAGATTTTCCCTCTTGGAGCCTGGCTCTCAGCACAGATGATAAAACATACATATGCAGGCCCTGCCTTTTCCAAAGCCATTCTGTTCATCTGCCAGGGTCTCGTTTATCTCCAAAAAATGATTGGGCCTCATTCCCGAACCGTTCTTAGAAACAGATTTGTACGTAAATCCTACTTACGAGGTTTTTACGAAGTAAGTGGCATTCACAAATTTTTCTCGTAACCAGAATTTCTCTTGAGCAAGTACAAATCCTATGAGTGTCAGGAGCACTCTTACGCACATTCAGTGCCGACATGTTCGCACGCTGGTGTTATGAAGTTCAATAAAACACAACATTACAGTGATATGTTTGTCATATTGATGTATGTATTTATTTATTTGTAGTAATCTTTATTTATATACCGCCTTTTTCACTGCAGATCTGGCCTATTTTTTAAGTCATTTTGAAATGAAATGTGCCAACGCTTTATCAAATACATTGGAAATCTTGCCGTGTATTAGTGACCCCTTCCTATTTATAGGGGGCATTTATTTATCCACGGGCCACAGAACAACAGCATATATACTGCTGCTGCAGGAGGTTACTGGGTCCGCGCTGAGTCTCTGCACTGGTCTCTCCCATGGATCTATACGGGTCTGCGCTGGTCTCCCCATGGATCTATACGGGTCTGCACTGGTCTCTCCCATGGATCTATACGGGTCTGCACTGGTCTCTCCCATGGATCTATACGGGTCTGCGCTGGTCTCCCCATGGATCTATACGGGTCTGCACTGGTCTCTCCCATGGATCTATACGGGTCTGCGCTGGTCTCCCCATGGATCTATACGGGTCTGCGCTGGTCTCCCCATGGATCTATACGGGTCTGCACTGGTCTCTCCCATGGATCTATACGGGTCTGCACTGGTCTCTCCCATGGATCTATACGGGTCTGCACTGGTCTCTCCCATGGATCTTGTAGTCAATAATTCCCTTTGACTGACGTATCCAAAGTCGATGCAAGAGCGAGACAAGAGATCTTCACGTTTAACATCTGCATTTAATTATCTTTACAATCAGATACAGAATATTCAACAAAAAAAGTGCTCCTAAACTAATATGTCCCTCTCCTGGCCCTCGGCTGACTGACTGCCAATCTCCTCCCAGCAGGTTCTATCAAAGGGTCCGATGACGTCACAGATCTGGGACTGGTCTGGCCCCTGGTCCTGGTCTGGACCCGGTCTTCCATCTCCACCTGAGCAAACAATGCCCCCCACCACTGGGCGCCTGATTGTGTTGGACTTTTGCCCTCGTCGAGAGTGGGAGAGAGCATTTGTTTATTCTTGGAGTCAATAATTGTCTGGTTTTGTAAGCTGGTCATCTCTTATGATTCCTGAGTGCATATTCCTTTGTCTGATGTGCAGCATTTTGTGAATATTCGTCAATCTATACGGGTCTTCACTGGTTTCTCCCATGGATCTATACGGGTCTGCACTGGTCTCTCCCATGGATCTATACGGGTCTTCACTGGTTTCTCCCATGGATCTATACGGGTCTTCACTGGTCTCTCCCATGGATCTATACGGGTCTGCACTGGTCTCTCCCATGGATCTATACGAGTCTGCACTGGTCTCTCCCATGGCTCTAGACGGGTCTGCACTGGTCTCTCCCATGAATCTAGATGGGTCTGCACTGGTCTCTCCCATGGATCTATACGGGTCTGCACTGGTCTCTCCCATGGATCTAGACGGGTCTGCGCTGGTCTCTCCCATGGCTCTAGACGGGTCTGCGCTGGTCTCTCCCATGGATCTA